ACTTCTGTCCCTCAGCCACGCACCTTTGAGTGGATTTTGTTATCAGTCAGATTAAGAGGAGGCCTGTGTCATGGACCTGCGCTGCTGCTGTTATCTGGAGGTTGGCAGCTCGAGCTGCTCTCTGTCAGCTTGCCCTTCCCTCCCACCAGCACACACTCTGGTGCTGCATTCTATTTCTAGAAATAAGTACTGAAGTTCATTTTCCATCTCCTCCCCCAGCCCTGACTTTATTTTATTATTTATTTATTTACATTTTATTTTTGGCAGCGTTGCGTCTTCATCGCTGCACACAGGCTTTCTCTAGTTGCGGCGAGCGGGGGGCTGCTGTTCGTTGCAGTGCGCAGGCTTCTCATCGCGGTGGCTTCTCTTGTTGCAGAGCACGGGCTCTAGGCGCGCAGGCTTCAGTAGTTGTGGCATGCAGGCTCAGTAGTTGTGGCTCGCGGGCTCTAGAGCGCAGGCTCAGTAGTTGTGGCACACGGGCTTAGTTACTCTGCGGCATGTGGGATCTTCCTGGACCAGGGCTCGAACCCGTGTCCCTGCACTGGCAGGCAGATTCTTAACCAGTGCGCCACCAGGGAAGTCCCCAGCCCTGACTTTATACCAGAGCATCCATAGGATTTCTTATATGTTTGAACTTAGAATATTTTGACCTTCATTTAAAAATGACATTTCTTGATTACTTTACTTCTCTGTTCCTGGTTTGTCATTCTGCTCATTCATCCCATATTCACTAGGTTGGTCGTTAGTGACTTGAGTTGATCAACTTTAGAATGTACATTTCAAAATTTTTATGTGAATTCCCATCTCCCTTTCCACTGCAGGCAACCCCCCCCCCAAAAAAGGGGGCAAGTTTCACTAATTCTCTGCTCATTATTTTGGAACCAAATGAACCGAAGTTAGACTTTGATTTGCTGTATTCCAAGGTTTTGGCCAGTCCCTTTGAAGTATGTTAAGGTGACTGGCAGGTTTAGAGAGATCTCTGAGAGATTTCTGTTTTAATTTGCAGAGTCCCAGCATGCCCAGGGATACTCACCCAGTGGGTATGGACTCCAGGTCCCTTTAAAAATTAAGCCAAATTCTTTTGAGAAGGACCAGCCTAGCTTCCATGGGGTCGTTTGGTTTGGTTCTTCCCAAATCCAGATTGAAGCCATCCTGTGAAATGGTATTGGCTTCCTAAAGACCTGCTCTCAAGGCCTCTGAGCTTGGTTTCTTACGGATAATTAAAGGTATTATAATCACCTGGAGAGCTAGCCCTACTGTGCTCCTTGGAAGTCTCTTCTCCGAGTCAGTTGTCTTCCTGTTTGGGTTGTTGACTGTCAAACCATGTTGAGCTCATAGTGTTCTCATGAATATGGCTCAATACCTGGTAGCTCAGTGACAGTGACTTTTTTTAAACTTTCCTTTGTTCTTCAGGTGTCTCCGTATTCTTGATGTACAAATTGAGACAGGATCGTTGCTCAGTAGCTGCATGTGCAAATTCAAGCCAATCCAAGGAAAATGAAAGTAGCTCTTTGGTTTTAGTTTGGGTCTTGGAGTTTGCTGGGCACTTTTATTAATAATGCATAAAACAGAACAAGAGTTCTACCCAGGGTCTGTCCACAAAAATGGGGTCCAGAAAGAGATGGCTACACGGAAGTGGCTCCACTGAATTGCAAGAGCAAAGGCAGGAAGGGAGTTTTTAGCGATTTTGCCTATTTGTGAAGATGTCTACAGTCGGAGGAAGTAATTTCTTCTATTTTCCTTATGTGAAATTGTGTTTAGTAAGTATTCAGTTGTTAATATGCAGCAGTTCTTCACTTTAACCTTTTTGATTCTTTTTTCCGTAAAAACAGTTCTTATGGTAATTCATGTACAGGGACCAGATAATTCATTCCATAAGCTGAAATGAATAAGGACTTATAAATTGTATCAACAGTGGAATGCTGCTTTGTCTCCTACCATCAACCAGCTTTTTGTTTTTTTAAATTTATTTATTTTTGGCTGCTTTGGGTCTTCATTGCTGTGCACAGGCTTTCTCTAGTTGTGGTGAGTGGGGGCTACTCTTCGTTGTGGTGCGTGGGCTTCTCATTGCGGTGGCTTCTCTTGTTGTGGAGCACGGGCTCTAGGCATGCAGGCTTCAGTAGTTGCAGCACGCAGGCTCAGTAGTTGTGGCACACGGGCTTAGTTGCTTTGTGGCATGTGAGATCTTTCTAGACCAGGGATCGAACCCGTGTCCCCTGTATTGGCAGGTGGATTCTTAACCACTGAGCCACCACGGAAGTCCCCATCAACCAGCTTTTAAACCTTATAATGCTGCATACAATCCGGAGACTGAGGTGAGACTGTCTCTTGAATCAGAAAACCACACAGGCTTGTCATAGGCTGCGAACAGGCCTGTGCATAATAACAAAATTGAGATAATAAGAGGAAAGCTTTATCTTCAGTCTGTAAATGGCTTTATGGTTCCTATTCTTTGCCATGGCCTTGGGGGTTTTGCTGAGCATCTGGTTTTAAGGTGTTTACCTTATTCCCCCTCTGAATGTTATCGGTCTTCCTTCCGTGTTTTGCCTTGTGTGTCCCATTAATATGGTATCTAGGAGGTGCACTTGCATCTGGATGTCAGAACCTTACACTTCGACTAAAGTCAGGACCTTACTTGCTCTCCCTGACTTTAGTCTTTCTGCAACAGGGGCCTGGTGAGAGGCCTGGCCCCACGGGTGCAGGCACAGTTATTCCCGAGCAGGGGAAGTAAGGGTGGATGAGCTAGATGGGAACTGAATGTGATGGGCCGAGGGGAAAGTGGGGCTTGATACCTTCCAGAATAAGAAGCTGCTGTCACTGTAGGCTTTCAGGCGTGGGAGGGACTCATGGAAAGCCATTTTCCCAGAGGTGAGTCCCACTGCTATGTAGAGTTTAGGAGGAGGCAGAGAAGTTGTGATGTCAGGGAGATCCAGGAAAGGCTGGAGATAACTTTAGTCCAAGTGCGAGGTTGTGAAGTCTGGATGCAAGCACTCCTAACCAGACTAGGACAAGAGAAATCTGAGGACATTCTGCAACGGGAAATAGCAGCACGTTGCCTTCTCCCTATACAGTACCACGTGCTATGAGATGATAATTAATATTCATAATAACTCCAAGGCACTTTAAGACCATGAAGCCTTTCTGAATTATAAAATAAAGCTTAAATGATACTTACCATATGGTATGTAAAATGTATTTTATACTGTTTGAATTCTTTGAAAAATTGATTATCTAGTCTGTACAGCTAAAATAAAACCCTGCACTTAGCTGATTCTGCAGATTAGGGTTCACTGTACCCTTGTGTTCGACTCCTAATTTAGACTTTTTAATGGAAGATTTCAAGGGAGGATGGCAGAGTAATAGTCCGGCATTACTCCCAGTCTGACAATGCCCAAATCAATTTAGACATGGCAAAAACCAACTACAACAGTAAATTAGGGGGCTTCCCTGGTGGCGCAGTGGTTAAGAATCTGCCTGCCAATGCGGGGGACACGGGTTCAAGCCCTGGTCCAGGAAGATCCCACATGCCGCAGAGCAACTAATCCCGTGCGCCACAACTACTGAGCCTGTGCTCTAGAGCCCATGCGCCACAACTACTGAGCCTGCCCTCTAGAGCCTGTGAGCCACAACTACTGAAGCCCGTGCACCTAGAGCCCGTGCTCTGCAACAAGAGAAGCCACCGCAATGAGAAGCATGCGCATCTCAATGAAGAGTAGCCCCCACTGGCCGCAACTAGAGAAAGCCCACACGTAGCAATGGAGACCCAACACAGCCATAAGTACATACATACATACATACATAAATCTATTAAAAAACCAGTAATTAGGAAAGCAGCCTGCAAGCTGAACCTTAAAATTCATCAATAAAATGAAGGAAACCCAGAATCAAAACTATTATCCTAAAATCAACAGGAATTGGGAAAAAACATTTGGGAGCAAATGAATGGAAAATGTTAGCAAAACACAGTATAATATATGATTTGTGTCTCAAAAATATTGGGAGACAATACAGAAAACGATAATGAAAGCCTGTAGGAAACTGTTAAATGTGGCTAAGAAACTGTTTTTGCTGCCTTCATTGGGTGACTCATGCAGAGGGAAAGCAGCATGAGAAATCCCCATTACTGTGGTTCACAGGCACACACGTTTCATGTAAATCTCCTCTTAGCAGGGGTGGCTGGGTGTTAATTGCTGTTGTTTTCCCAAGATTCCTAGTGCCGTGTTTTGCTGGTGGTGATCACCCAGTCTGAGCCGGCTGGTGGTTGTTCTCAGTCCTACAGGCCTGATTTAGGCATTTCTCATGAGCGTTTGACTATTTTGGACACAGATCACAGCCACATTAAACTACCTTTTTCCTTGTTCCTTCGTCCCTTTCCAGTACTGCTTTGTGCTTTAGGTCCAGATGGGGCAACTCAGAAAACCTAATGCGTCAGGAGGGTGGGAGCAGAAGCGAGGGAGAGTTTCCAGAAGACCACTTTGGGCTGTCATCCTTTTAAATTCCAGGCTCTAAGGAAGTGTTGGTGGTATGAATGCCCTGTTAACAATTATCATTTGCCTTTGCTGCCAGCAACCTGGCAATCTAAAGAAAATAACCATTGGAATTCCCTGACTGTCCAGTGGTTGGGACTCCACGCTGTCACTGTTGTGGGCCCGGGTTTGATCCCTGCGGGGAACTAGGATCCCGCAAGCCACGTGGTGCGGCCAAAAATGAAAGAAAATAAACCGCATAAAATAAAAGCAAGAACAGAAAAGGTCCTTTCAAACAAATAGGCCATCCTTTGCACATTGCTCCCTCCCTGGGCTCTGGTGGGAGTGGAGAGGAGAGCTGTGTCTGCGGGTGTCCTCCAAGTGCCCCTTCTGGGCCCTGGACTCTCTGGTCTGCTTCTGAAGCCAACGGGCTTGATTAAGGAGGGTCTGGCTCTACAGAAAGCTCTTTGTCAGTGTAGCTCAAAACAGATGATTTTTTAAAAACCCTGCATCAGTATTTACTTTGTCTTACAGTGGTTTGAGTCCAGCCAATGACACTGGAGCCAAAAAGAAGAAAAAGAAACAAAAAAAGAAGAAAGAGAAAGGCAGTGAGACAGATTCAGCCCAGGATCAGCCTGTGAAGGTAACAAGGAGTCTCTGTTTTCTGGTGACAGAGTCACTTTTTCAGATGAGAGGGTGTTGGGGTAAATGTATAGGAACAGTGTGGATTGACAGTCCCCACTGGTATTACTTCGAGAGGGAGGAGTTGGATCCCTCTGCTGCCCTCTGCTGCCCTCGACCTAGGTGATGAAACTGCTATCCTACCTTAAAAGGCACAGCACGTTAGACATTGACTCCCAAGCCTGGTGCCCCCTCAGAATTTATAGGTGCATACCTGCATGGGGTGTTGTGCGCGTGCCACAGAGCGATTCCCCTGTGACCGCCCCTGTGGCCTAGAGCAGTGGTTCTCGGCCTTTTCTGTCTTCAGTCCCCACCACTATGAGAATGAAAGGCCTGTTCCTATTAAGGCGGACCTTTATATATTGCAAGCATTCTGTTGATGCTACAGTTATTGTAATGAGAACTGAGACTCCCACAGAGCCCATTTCTGAGTTCCATAGTTGAGAACCATTGGCCTAGAGCTTACCTCTGAGACTGACACACCGACACAAAACCCAGAAGTATGGGTAAGGATTGTTTTGTTTCTTAAATAAAGCCACATTAAAAAAAGAAAAGCTTTTATTTCAGGTAAGTGCTGTCCTCTTCCAAGTAGGCCCTGGAGGAAACTCGAAACATACCCATAATTCTTTCAGAATTGCCTCAGTTTACAGGCCTCACGAGAAGTCCAGTCTCATCATTCCAGTGTACCCGCCCCTTGCTTCTTGCCTCCAAAGTCATACTCCAACTTGAATCTCCTACCTTATTGAGATATGGCTTCAAGTCATTTTTTTTGGTATTTTCAATACCAAACCCACTGTGAAAAAAAAAATCCTACCATTATTGACCACCATGCTGGCCAGCTAGGTTCTTGCCAGGCACATGGTTTAAATTAACCCCAACCTTCAATTTCTCTACAGGGTAGGTGGGGGTCTTCCCATTTTAAAGACGAGAGGAGGTGGTTTACCCAGGTCTTTCAGTCAGGAATCCTAGCCCAAGCCCATGCTTTGGCTTTAGGGATTCTTGTTGGTTTCTTTGTTTGTCTGGGGGTGGGTGTTTGGATGACTCCAGGGGGGTTTGAACTGAAACCTTTATCAAAATGGTTCACTTTGAGAGTAGAAAATCTCAACAAAACACCATTTGTATAGCCGTTCTGTTTTTCTCTTTATGAGAGTGTTGGAATACATAGTAAAGAAATTAGAAAAAAACATAGCAAGAGGAAGAAAATGAAAATCATTTCCAGTTCTACCTCCCAGGAATAAGCAATGTAAATATATTGGTTTATATTCTCTCTTTCCTTCACAATTTAGATGAAAAAAAGATGTCGGAAAGTAGAAGTGTTAGAAGTTATGGGTATTTGTATAATCTTAAGTTGGACATAAGATCCAGAAGCCATAAAAGAAAAAGTGACAAATTTCAAACTTCTCTGTAAAAGTCAAGAGGTAAACAACAAACTGGGCAAATACTTGCAATACATGAATCAGTAAATTTAAGAGAATGAAATGAGTAGGCCATTCACAAAGAAAAAAATCAAGGTTTTTATATGAAAAGATGGTTAAATTTGAAATGAAAATTAAAGCAAGATTTTTTTTCCCCTAGATTGGCAGAGATTAAGATTTGGTAAATCTGATGATGAGGGTCTTGAGAAACACACGCCCATACACTGTTCACTGGGTTGATTGATATTCTCTTTTTAGAGAGTAAGTTGACAATATATATAATCTCAAACATGCATCTCCTTTTACCCAGCAAGCCTCCTTTCTTAGACTTTATCCTGTAGAAATATGTATTCAGTGAGCAAAAATAGATGTAGAAGAAAGTTCATTGCAGCATTGTCTGTAAAACTGAAGACTCAAATCACCAAAATGCCGTTGGTAGGGGGTTGGCCAGATATATTGTAGTCTGTGCACGCAGGGGACTCAGTTGTTGGAATGGGCAGGTCCATGTGACTGCGTGGAATGGTCTCTAAGACATAGTGTTTGAAGAAGAACAGTCAGTAAAATAATACTGTACGATCCAATTTGAGTCTTTGAAAATTGTGTGTGTGTTTGGAACTTGCATGCAAAAAAGTCTGAAATTATATTTGCCTCTTCTCACCCTACCTCCCAAATTTAAGACTGTTGATGACAAGGATTATATTTGAGGGATGGGACTGTTGGGTTTTTTATCTTCTGTGTGTTTTTACATTTCTGCATTGTTTGAAATTTTACGCTAAGCCACGTTTTGCCGTCAACCACCGTAAGACTAAGAAGAGGAGAAACCCTGTAGGAAGCACCTCCCTATCATACTGCTCGTCGTCGACCACTCCTTCTCCACTTGTACTTCAACAGCTGATCTCTCAGGAACCACACCGCTTCTTTGAGTTGTACCCCCTTAACTCTTGGACTTGAATGAATCAAAAGTGTTTATTAATATAATGGGCCTTTTCTCTCCCCAACTTTGTCTTGTTCAGATGAACTCTTTGCCAGCAGAGAGGATCCAGGAAATACAGAAGGCCATTGAACTCTTTTCAGTAGGTCAGGGACCTGCGAAAACCATGGAGGAGGCTAGCAAACGAAGCTACCAGTTCTGGGACACGCAGCCCGTCCCCAAACTGGGTATGTATTCGCTTTCTTCCCCAGGCGAAGGCAAAGGCAAAGGCAAGGGCAGGGGCGAGGGATGTGCCTCAGCCATGCTGAGGGTTCTATGCTGGATTTGTGAGGGAGGACGAGAGAGTTCTGTTGTTCCTTGGTGGTGGTTTTTAGAGGATAGTCTTTACAGTGCAGTTCAGAAAAGGCTGTTGTCCAGGGACCTTATCATTTCACAGTAACACATATTGAGAACAAGTAATGGTCCTTGTAGTGCATCATCATCCAGTATAAATCTACAAAGAAAAACAGGGCGTTGGCACATGGTGAGTGGGGATGTGCGCTCAGGGACCTGTCTTCCCACATAGGTTTTATGGGGAGACTTGTTTATCTGGGCAGTGTTTAATCTGGAGTGGGCCAGTCCCCAGCCTCTTCCCCTTGTCTCTCAGACAGTGCGTGCTTCATAGATGCAAAATAATTTGACATTTTGCTTCCCAGTGATAGTTTAATTCCACCTGGAATACCGTATGCAGGTTTGGTCGGCACCTCTTTGAAAAGCTATGATGAACTCTCAAAGGAGTGGGGCAGGCAGAAAATAAAAGGATTCTGGAAGAGACTGGTCGTAGCAGAGTTAGAGATGCCTGCTGAGACTGAGCCACAGCTCACCTTGACGGCTGACTTCAGAGGGTGTTACTGACAGAACGTTTTTGCAGTGGGTTGCATCATGCCCCTAGACCCATTGATAGCCCAGTTCCTATTTTCTGTGTGACTGGGAAAGTAGGTATGTTGAGAAAAACGTGTGTTAACAACAAACATGAGTGACCTTCAGGCTGTCCATGTTACTGCTCCCCTCCAGTGACACAGTGAGGTTTGACAGTGTGTTTGGTGGGGAAGAGCGGGGTGAGGGCAGAATGAAAGCCTGGTGAGGGGAGAGGGGCAGCTGTGCCCAAGGAGAGTCGTCTACTCCAGAGTGTGCCCCTCCGGCCAGCAGGATGGACATTGCTTAAGAGCTTGTAGAAATGCAGAATCTCGAGCCCCAGACCTGCAGAATCAGAACGTGCAGGGGATTTGTGTCCACTCTGCAAGTTTGAGAAGCTCTGCTCTGGAGCAGATGCAGTTTGTAGACAGCTTAGTCCCAATCCAGAAGCAAGCTGAGACGTGCCCCCCAGAGGGTGCAAAGCAAGGCAGTGCCTGGATGGTTGTGAGTCGTGAATCAGCAGCAGGCACTGTTCTAGAACCCTGCCCTCACCCATCCACCAGGTCTGTTGAGCTGTCCCGGTCAGCCAGGTCCCAGGCCACTGGCTAAGCCCTCCAACAAGGCTTTGGGTCACAGCAATACTATTCTTAGGGTATTACAGGTAACGGGCCCCGGCGACCACTCCCCCACGAAGCAGCAGGAAGAATCGAGAGCCACACGCTCCACCTCTGAGTGAATTGCACGAAGAGGCATCCGGGGTGGGGGGCTGCTGTGCACCTTGGCTGTTTTCAGATGGGGTCTTGGTTTGGTTTTATTTTTCATTAAGAATTTGCAAATGGGTGACTTTGCTCCATTCTTCATAGACATGGAACCTGGTGAAGAGGCCAGTTGGGATTAATGGGCTTCTCTTCTGCTTTAGCTCATTTACTCTTTGATGTTTGCCTCAGTTTCTCCACCTGTATGTAGACAGTACTCCCTTTTTGTTCTCAGAAAGCTCGTGACAAAGCCACACTATTGCTCACAGGGACCTAGATGGCCTCGGGAAGGTGGAATGGGGCTGTTTTGTTTCTTCTCGATGTGCCTTCTGGGCAGTGTGTGGTGTGGGGCTCTGGGGAAGAGTGATCACTCCAAGCTTCTGGCCAGTCTGCCTTTCAGGTCCGCGGTCAGTCAGGTCCAAATAAAGGATTCCTTTGTGTCTGTGAGTCAGCACATAGAAAGTACCACATTATAGGCATCAGTTGGTCCACGTGGCTGAGGTGTCACCCCAGTTCTGCTTCTGACTGTCATTAGGGTAGAGTGATTTACAGCTTCTTGCTTTAATTTTTTCCACTTAACTGGGGGCTAATAATTGTGAGACTCAAGCATATCAAGTGTACTGTGTTTGCAGCACTCCCCAACTTGTGGTGAGAGTTAGATTGCATTTCACTCAAAAGACTTAGAATTCTTTAGGAGTTTAAAATCATCTGGGACTTCCCTGGTGGCGCAGTGGTTAAGAATCCTCCTGCCAATGCAGGGAACGCGGGTTCAAGCCCTGGTCTGGGAAGATCCCACATGCCGCGGAGCAGCTAAGCCCGTGTGCCACAACTACTGAGCCTGTGCTCCAGAGCTCATGAGCCACAACTACTGAGCCCGCGTGCCACAGCTACTGAAGCCTGCGTGCCTAGAGCCCATGCTCCGCAGCAAGAGAAGCCACCGCAATGAGAAGCCTGCGCACCGCAACGAAGAGTAGCCCCTGCTCTCTGCAACTGGAGAATGCCTGCACGTAGCAACGAAGACCCAACGCAGCCACAGATAAATAAATAAATGTATTTTTTTTAAAAAAATCATCCTAAGTTCACCATTGAAAGGCCTGTAAACAGCCAGTGTCTTCAGCTGTATAACAATTCTTTGTGCTCCCAGATCAACTTTTGATCTCCCTTTTCAGACCATGTCCTTCTCCTTTTTCAGTCACCCCTTTTCCTGCGCTAGTCGGGGGGTGGTGAGGAATCCTTTTACTTTGCCTGACCTTAGTGGGGTGGAATCTGGCCACTGTTAGATTAGTTTAAAAAGTAACTCTCCCGAAGAAAGGGAGAAGGCGGACGCGTACTTGGTTGCCCCGGGCCCTGAGAGAGAAGCTTCCCCACTTTGTCCCTTGTCCTGCTCGTTAGGCTTAAGGTCTCCCAGATCTCACATTCTTTTCTCCCAAGTCCTTCACAGGTGCACCGTGGCACTTGGTTTTGGATCTCGGTGTCGGAAGGCAGAGAGAGCATTTGGGGGTAGAGTGTACAGAAAGAAACCTGTTGAAGGTCCAGGGTTTTCTTTCAGAGTTCCCAGTGTCCTCCTCAGCTGCTCGCTGGCTCATGGTGGCCTAGAGACAGTTGGCTGCATTCCTGCCGTGCTCTGCAGAGCAGCCCGCACCGACTCAGCCAGAGGCGCTCAGGAGCCATTGGAAGGTGGCAGGCAGGAGCCCTGGGCCGCTCTCAGCCTTACTGGCGCCCCGAGCCGCGAGTCTGCTCAGAGTGCTGCTTTTCGCGGTGTTTGCTCTGACTCTGCCTCGCCAGCTATGTCTCGCAGATGGCACACAGCCTTGAGATAACCTGTGAGGGCTGGTTTGTCAACACGTAGATGAAGACTTACCAATTGAATATTGTATAAAAGTTCACTCAGTAATGTCACTTGACGAGCACTTATTGAGTGCTCTTTGTAAAATTCAAATCTCAGGATGTCACTCCTCCCTCCCCTCCCCCTTAAAGACCCGTTCAGGATGTCCCACAGCCTTGAGGATGAAGTCCAGCCTCGGTAGTAGCTCGCAGGGTCCTCCACGATCGGTCCCCGCTCTCCTCTTCAGCCTCCTCTCCTAGTTTCCTTCCTTCCCCCCACTTCATCTCCAGGCCTTGACTGTGCTGTTCCCTCAGTGTACCCACCCTCCCTGCCCCACCCAGTCCACTCCTGCCTAATTCCTAATTATCCTTGAGATCACATCTTTAGATATTTCTTCTGAGAGGTCTTTCCTGACCCCTCCCCCTCCTACCATACTTCATTGTCGTGGACTCTCATTATACTGAGTGACAGGTGCCTGCTTGCTTGTCTCTTTGGTACCCATGATGATGAGGACCTACGTCCATTTCATTCGCCAGCTCCTGCCCCAGAGCTGGAGCATTCTAGGATTCTGTGAACACATGGTGAAGGCGCACATGGAAATGCTTGGTGCATGCAGGACCTAGTAACCAGCCTAAATGAAATGATTTGGCCTTGAGACTATGGTCATGTAGTGGCAAAGACCACCAGTGTCTTGTCCATGAAATCATTCAGGGGGAAAAAATTGATAAAAAAGTTCTGAAGTTTAAAAATGTCTTTTGGAGGGCTTCCCTGGTGGTGCAGTGGTTAAGAATCCACCTGCCCATGCAGGGGACATGGGTTCGAACCCTGGTCCAGGGAGATCCCACATGCCGCGAAGCAACCTAAGCCTGTGCGCCACAGCTGCTGAGCTTGTGCTGTAGATCCCATGAGCCACAACTGCTGAGCCCGCGTGCCACAACTACTGAAGCCCGCGCACCTAGAGCCTGTGCTCTGCAACAAGAGAAGCCACTGCAACGAGAAGCCCACGCACCGCAACGAAGAGTAGCCCCTGCTCGCCGCAACTAGAGAAAGCTCGTGTGCAGCAATGAAGACCCAACACTACCATAGATAGATAAGTGAAAACGTCTTTTGCAAAGGGTATAAGTTCAAAACAAGATAGGGAAAATTGATTAGCACCTAGACTAGAGTAGAAATCCTTGGTACCTTCCAAGGGTCCAGCCCTTGGCTTGGTAGGCTCAAAAAGTTATACGTGGCAGGGAATTGAAAGTGGATTGACTTATATTAAACCAAGTCACAAGGGCTGCTTTATGAATTAATCAAAAGGCCAATTTCTAAACCAGGGAAAAAATATATAACCGCTTTCCCAAGGAAACGTATTTGGGAGCAGCTTATAAATAAGAGTTAGCTGGATTCTTCCCTGCTGTGTCCCCATTGTTGCCTGTACTTTGCAATTTGTGACCCTTAGCACGTTGGTAATGACTCATTTCTTGAATATTTCCCCAGAAGATGGTGTATCTTGTGAGGCCAGGGACCTTGTCTTTTCTCAGCTCTGTCCTGGTACGCCATGTCTGACTGGTGTTCAGTAAATGTGCCGGGCGAGAGTTAGACGGTCAGTCCTGATGGTGTTGTGCTCAGCTCACGGCTGGATGCAGCCATTTCCACTACACCTGCCCCACAGATCCGTCACTGGGAGGGTCCACAGCTTCCTGTTACGCGTTAGAATGGTGTGTTTGGGCCAGGAGTCCGAATGTCAGTAAAAGCATGAACTGAGTGCCTAGAGCCTTGTGCTGGGAGCCGTGTACTGAGTGGTCCCCTGAAAAGACTGTTTTCAAAATGTACTAAACATTTCATTCTTCTAAGTTGTGAACATGAATGAGCTCTGAATTGTAGAATCTGCCAGGGCCAAATAATTCCAGGGGCCAAAGTTAAGTGGCTGATTTGTCTGAGTTTATCAGATAGGTCTGATTTGGCAGGGGTTGGGAATCAGGGCTCTGTCTTCTCAGTACCCCCCTCACTTCTTATGTACTCCACAGGGGAAGGGTGTCCGTCCCGGGTGGAGATGTCCCATCGGAGGGTAACTTCCCAGCAGCGTGGTGTAGACTCAGTGATTAAGCCTGAAGGCGCTCACAGGGCTCTGTAAACACCGAGGGCCTGAGCTGGCAGCAGCAGTTAACTGGCCCACGTTGTTCAAAGCCAAGGCTGGCGGGGCCCATAGTGAGGCTGGCGCCTGGACGCCATTGTCTAGCTCAGGAATAGGCCCAGTACGTTGTTGTTGCTGTTGACACAAAAGCGGCCTTGTTGCAACTCCTTACAAATCCATCCAGGTCGATGGGCCTGGGCCAGGGCCATGACAGCACTCTACACCAACCAGGAGGCAGGGAGCCAAACTAGTCAAGATAAATGTTTGTCATTCAGGAACCAAAGGGAGATTTAAAAGAATGTCCAAGAAACCAACCACCTTGGATCCCACTGATTGTTCTTAAGCTTGGCCATGAATTGGCCCTCAGCTAGGGGCCAAGGGCAGCTGGAGAGATGGTCTGCAGTTGCCAGGAACAGAGTGTCCTTGAGATGGAGGGCTCCTAGGGATAGGAGGAATTTGCTGAGGTCAGTCTTTGAGCTGAGCCCCTTCCTTCCCTAGGAAGCCGAGGGTGAGGCTTATGGCTGTGCTCTTCTTCCAGGGGAAGTCGTGAACACACATGGTCCCGTGGAACCTGACAAAGACAGCATCCGCCAGGAGCCCTACACGCTGCCCCAGGACTTCGCCTGGGATGCCTTGGACCTGGGGGACCGTGGTGTGGTGAGTAGGCCTGGGTGGGCCAGGAGTGTGGACCGGCTGCCACTTTCACTAACAGGCCTGCAGTCACATCGAGACGGCTTCTACTTAGGCCTTCCTCAAGGGCTGTCTTAAGAGCTGAGCCAAGCAGGTCTGAGCAGAGCCCCCATCTGTTGCCCCTGGGGCCTGCCCACGACTCCACATAAATAGCTCTTGGCTTCTCTGGCAGGTTGAGAGTTAACCCCTGCCACTCCCCGAGGCAGATACCTTTCCTTCATGCTTTCATTTTTCTTGTTCATCCATTTATTCAGTCCCTTGTCTTAACGATGGAGTGGTTGGTTAGTTGGATGACATTCTTGGTCTGCCCCTTCATGTACTTAAGTCTGCCACTCTACCCTTGGTGGCTCAGTTTCCTATTAAGCACTAGGGTACTTGTTCCAGGAGTCCCTGCCATGAAAAGGATTTGGGAGATGAAACATAATTTTTGGTAGTTTGCCTTGTCCTGAAAGGCTTGGAGCCCCAGGGTACTGGAGTTCGTCCCCACCCCTGGCAGAATACCTCTAAGGCAGCTCCTCCTCTCTGCAGCTGAAAGAACTCTACACCCTCCTGAATGAGAATTATGTGGAAGATGATGACAACATGTTCCGATTTGATTATTCTCCCGAATTTCTTTTGTGGTGAGTTGTAAGGGCTTTCTTATTAAGGTTCCAGAGCCAGGCATAGAGCAGAACAACGACAGGGCACCAGATTTTTCATCCCTGCTAAGAGCCATCCTTTTAATGACAAATTAGTATGCGATTTTTGAGTTTCTGCATCTGAAGGAGACTTGCTTCTCGTGGAGCTTAGAATCAAAACCTTATTGAAGACAGAATGACTGGGTGAGGGATTCCTTTATCGAATTGGTACCCAGAAGAAAAGATCGTCTACTGTATAGTGACTTTATGTAAGAAGGGAGGGAGGGATGAGACCTGCTAAGATTTAAAAGAAAAGAGGTCGTTTTCTATCCATGTCCTGAGCATGCTCAGTAGTATGAAAATGACCTCGCCTGGCTGGGCCACCCACCCTCCCGGGCCTTGTTTAATATCCGGGAAGGTAGAGGCATGAGGCCAGCACGGTGGGGGCCTGCCTGAAATGGGAGGGAAAGGAAGACTGGCCAAGCGGAAAGAGAGGAGGTGATGGTGCTTTGGGGAGGTGGAGCCCAGAGCTCCAGAGGCTCCACAGCCAGCTCCCGACCATGGGACCCACTGGACTCAAAGCCAGGGAGGGCGGTGCTCCGGCTCGGGCTGTCAGAGTAAGTGAGCACAAAGAAACCGGATCAGGATGAAATCTTCACTGTGACAGCCCTGGGTTGGATGAGCAAGTAGGCCAAGTGGACTGAGCAGAAAGAGCGAGCTGTGGCTCCATCCCATTGGTGTCCAGGAGGGTTTGGCCCTAAAGAGAATTAGGAGAATTGAGCTGTTCACCCCCACTCAGGGAGGTGGTAGCACGAGCTTAGAACCAGACTCGGCGGCGGAGCCCAGACAGTCCGCCAAGGCCACTGGCGAGCAGCACCACGGCTACAGCCCCCGTCTCTCCTCTAGGGCTCTCCGGCCGCCTGGCTGGCTCCCCCAGTGGCACTGTGGGGTTCGAGTGGTCTCGAGTCGGAAACTGGTTGGGTTCATCAGCGCCATCCCGGCAAACATCCATATCTATGACACGTAAGCACCAGCGCCACTCCTACCCCCCGCATCCTCACCATCCTGCTTGGTCTGGGAAGGTGGGGGGGAAACACGCACATACTTTCCGTAGAAGAAAGAGGGAAGTTCCCACGAAGGGAGGGAACTTGGGTCATGGGAAGAAATTCATCATAGGAACCACCTGTCTGGCTCTGAATTGTTGCTGGTGCTCTTGTCTGTGACCTGGGCTGGAAGGAGTCCACCCTGAGGGCCGGTGCACTCCCTGACCAGCAGTTCAGCATTTGCATTTGTGCCACTCACGGATTGACACACTCAAGCCGCCGCTTCAGAAGTGGCGGGTGTGACTCACCACCACACGGTCACGGGGCCTTCAAGCTCTGCTCTTTGCTTTCCCTGGAAATGTCAGAACCATCTACCACAGCCTTCTGGGCTTAGAGGCTGTGGGTTCTTGGGGGAGTCAGAACCCCTGCAATCCTAGAATAACCCTTGACTTACTCTGTGGGGTTCCTGACGGCTAAAGGTGGGACCCCGCCAGCCTACTATTGGGGCTTCACCAGGGAGATGCTGTGGTGCCTTAAATAAAGGAGTTTGCTTGAGTCCCACTTACCTTTGGAGGCAGAGTCCTTAGAGAGTGGGCCCCTAGCCTGGTGCAGCAGAGCAGGGCAGTGGGAGGGCGTCCGAGTCCCGACTGCTGAGTGCAAGCAGAGGCAGAACACAAGCCTGTGCTGAGGGCCCCGGTCTCTGCAGGGCGCTCCATGTGCTGGACAGGATTACCTTGCCTGTTAAAAGCCTTGTCCCTGGGTTTTTTCCTTCCTCTTCAGAGAGAAGAAGATGGTAGAGATCAACTTCTTGTGTGTCCACAAGAAGCTGCGTTCCAAGAGGGTGGCTCCAGTCCTGATCCGTGAGATAACCCGGCGGGTGCACCTGGAGGGCATCTTCCAAGCTGTTTACACTGCCGGGGTCGTATTACCAAAGCCTGTTGGCACCTGCAGGTAAAAAAATCTCCTTTGCAAGGTCCTAGAAACGGCGACATGCCCGCTCTAGTTTGAGGAGCTTGTGTCACTGTGAGTCACAGTTCTGCCCCTCCGCGTGTGCCCTAGAGCGTCTCCTGCTCTGGTGTCTGATGAGGTGGGCGGTGGTCCCCACAGGAGCCGGGTGGGAGGCTGTAGGAACAGCAGTGTGCACAGAGCGTGCCCTGCCCAAAGAGGTTAGGCTTTCTTAGGTCCCCCCGATTCCTTCCATTTGGAAATGGTGGGGGTCAGTCTGCTGGGGTTTTGTTCTTGTTTTTAAGGATGAGGCCAAATCTGGATCTTTATGGTAAATGTCCTAAAGTTTTAAATGGTTGGCTCAATTTTGTTTTGAATATTATGTGGGCCGAAAGAGCATCCCTGTGTGCACCAAGCACAACCTCTGCCTTCGAAAGTTCTTTGAAACAATTGAATACTCTGCCTTAAGAACTTCAAAAGTGAAAACACCAGACAAATGCTGGAAAGGAGGAGGCAGAGGCTAAACATTCAGAGAACTAGAAGTCTTTTCCATTGACTTGATTCCAGGAGTGGTGATCGCTGTTCCCAGACAAATACTGTTACAGAGGAGTGGCTTGTGAACTTGACAAAGAAAATATAGGAAGCGCTGTGGCCACTCTGCACTCGCTGTGGGGAGGTTGGCGATCTGGGGCGACGCCACTGGCTCAAGTGGGGCCCGACGGGTCTCTTACGCCACCTGCCGGCCATCTTGAGATCCCTGTGCAATTGTCCTTTTTTTTTTTTAATATTTATTTATTTGGTTGTGCTGGTTCTTAGTTGCGGCACGTGGGCTCCTTAGTTGCGGCATGCGAACTGTTAGTTGCGGCGTGCACGTGGGATCTAGTTCCCTGACCAGGGATCAAACCCAGGCCCCCTGCATTGGGAGCGCGGAGTCTTAACCACTGTGCCACCAGGGAAGTTCCGCTGTTGTCCTTTTAATGAGACTTGCCATAGTCCTCTGAGGACAGGACATTGTGTCCCCACAGGTACTGGCATCGGTCCCTAAACCCACGGAAGCTGATTGAAGTGAAGTTCTCCCACTTGAGCAGAAATATGACCATGCAACGCACCATGAAGCTCTACCGACTTCCAGAGGCCAGTGGTGCTTCGGGGCCCTGGGCAGGGGCAGGAGGGAGGCCAAGGAGAGCCTCGCCCTCAGCAGGAAAGGAGCGGGGCCTGGGGGGGGGGGGAGGGGGCTCTTACCAGAAAAGCAACTCAACCCGTAGTTTCCGGGTTCCTAGCCTTTCCATCCTGTCGTTCTGTTATCTGTAGCAAGGTTTTTATTTTAGTTGGACTTCCTCTGTTCTCCTGAGCCTACACCTGGGCTAGTTTCTCTGCCATCTGTTGGCAGACTCAGAGAACACCTATTCCGTGTAATTTTAGCCTAAGTGAAGCATAATGGAGAGAGGAATCCACTCACTGGTACGCAGCACATCCCAGGACCCAGCGGAAATGAGCCACAGAGCATCTGCTGCTCCCTCTGCCGAGTCAGGTGGAGGAGAGGTGGCTTGAGGTTGTGAGGGGAGCCCAGATCTCCAGTCCCAATCCTCCCGCCCAGATTTTGCCGCCGAAGGACTAGGCAGCCTGCAGTGAGCTGGTTTTCTCCTCTGGGCCTCGGTTTGCCTAGTTTGCCAGTGAGACAGACGCTCCTTGTTCTCCTGTTGTGCCTGTCTTCAGGAGCCTAATGGATCTTAAAATCCCTTCTCTTCCCTCAGAGCTCTTCCGGGCAGTGTCAGCACAGTTATTGGATGCCTGCTGATCAGAGGGCTGCCCGCCTGGACTCATCAGCCACCAAACTGGATTAATCGCCCTGGGATTGGGCTGATCCACCCCTGGATTGGGGTCATTAGTGCCCTGCTTTGAGAGCCCGCTGCAGCATAGTTAGGCACTGCCCAGGAAACCAGCTTAGGGAGCCATGATGAGTGTCCCCTTGGGCCACTGGAGAGTGTTCTTAAAGTGTAGCAGCTGGAAGAATGTCTTTGGATCTCCCCGCCTGTGGGTGAGAACCCCAGCATGGCTGCTTTTTCAGTCCAGGATTTGAGGTGTCATTTGGGGAGCTACCATGTAGAAACAAGGTCACTAAGTGTTCCCTAGAGACATCAGGATTAGCAAGGAATTATGGCAGCTAGAGGTCCTGGAACTGCAGTTTTAAATTTATTTATTTACTTATTTATTTTTGGCTGCTTTGGGTCTTTGTTGCTGTGCTCAGGCTTTCTTTAGTTGTGGCCAGCTGGGGCTACTGTTCGTTGCAGTGCGCGGGCTTCTCATTGCAGTGGCTTCTCCTGTTGCGGAGCACGGGCTCTAGGTGCACAGGCTTCAGTAGTTGTGGTGCCAGGGCTCAGTAGTTGTGGCGCACGGGCTTAGTTGCTCCATGGCATGTGGGATCTTTCCGGACCAGGGCTCGAACTCATGTCCCCTGCATTGGCAGGCGGATTCTTAACCACTGTGCCACCAGGGAAGTCCCCTGGAACTGCAGGGTTTTTTTTGGTTTTTTTGCGGTATGCGGGCCTCTCACTGTTGTGGCCTCTCCCGTTGTGGAGCACAGGCTCCGGACGCTCAGGCTCAGCGGCCATGGCTCACGTGCCCAGCCGCTCCGCGGCATGTGGGATCTTCCCGGACCGGGGCACGAACCCATGTCCCCTGCATCGGCAGGCGGACTCTCAACCACTGCACCACCAGGGAAGCCCGGAACTGCAGTTTTAAAAGCAATTCCTGTCCCCAATAAAGATGTTAAAAAAAAAAAAAAAAAAGCAGCAATTCCTGTACACCTGAAACTAACACAACATTGTTAATCAACTATACTCTGATATAAAATTTAAAAAAAAAGAAGCAGCAGCAATTCCTGCATTAGGAAGCAGTTGTGTCAGGCAGTGACTGAGGTATATAAACTAACTCTACCCTGATTTCAGACTCGGCTGACCCCACCTTTGTGTATTAAGCCTTTGGGAATGTTCCCTCAGCCCCAGTATTTACTCCAGAGCATCACATGGGTTCATTCCACTGAAGCATTTTCTAAGGAGAAGCAGCTGTGGGGTGGGATTCTGGCATGAGATTAAATCCTGGGAGTTCTGTGCTTTTCTTCTGAATTTTACTTGCAGCAGTGTCCTGCCAGGGGCAGTACTGGGGTAGTGGTGTCCAAGTGGATAGGCAAGGCGGGCATCCAGTGTAGGCTCTACCAGGCCCGGGCTTCCATGGTGCCTGTGGCTGGGAGGCTGTCTGTGAAGTGCTCTAAGTCTATAGGAGAGTGAGCAGTGTAGGAAGAGATGAGCTGCAGTTCAGTGGGAAAAGGTTGTGAGGTTCGGAGGAGAGGGGCCAAGAAAGGCTTTACTGAGGCCCAGGAGTAGCACCGGGCTGGGCCTACCCCAGCACATCCATGGGGTGGTCAGGGTTTCTCCACCATGGCACCATTGACATTTTGGGTTGGGTAATTCTTTTTTTTTTTAATAAATAAATAAATTTATTTATTTATTTTTGGCTGCATTGGGTTTTCGTTGCTGCATGCGGGCTTTCTTTAGTTGCAGCGAGCAGGGGCTACTCTTCATTGCGGTGCGCAGGCTTCTCATTGCGGTGGCTTCTCTTGTTGTGGCGCACGGGCTCTAGGTGTGTGGGCTTCAGTAGTTGTGGCTCACGGCCTCCAGAGCGCAGGCTCAGTAGTCGTGGTGCACGGGCTCAGCTGCTTTGCAGCATGTGGGATCTTCCCGCACCAGGGCTCGAACCCGTGTCCCCTGCATTGGTAGGCGGATTCTTAACCACTGCGCCACCAGGGAAGTCCCTGGGTTGGGTAATTCTTCATCACGGAGACCGTCCTGTGCGTTGTAGGATGTTTAGCAGCATCCCTGGCTTCTACCCACTAGATGCCATCGCACCCCTCCCTCTAGTTGTGACAACCAAAAATGTCTCTGAATATTGTCAGATGTCCCCTGGGGACAAAATTGCTCCTGCTGAGAGCCACTGGGCTAGAGAGACAGAAGATCACAGCCAGAACAGCCACTGGTCCCGAGGGTGGAAGGTTTTGTGTTCTGTGTTAGGGAGTTTGGAACAGGGAGGGGTGTGACCGGCTGTGTTTTCTTAGGAAGCCGGCCTGGGCCATGTGGATAAGAGATTGACGCAGCCTTAGTCAAGGATGGCAGCCTTAACCACGAGGGAAAGGGCCAAAGACACTGCAGGGGCAGGACTTGTGCCGGAGAGGATGTGGACAGTGGGTGAGAGGGAGCTGCCTGGGATAACTGAGGAGTCTCTCTCGAGGGCCTGGGTGGATAGACTCAGGGTCGGGGTAGGAAGGGAGACAGTGTGAGGTTTTTGGTTCATGTAGGACTTGAGAGGGAGCCAAGGTGCTCATGGTCAGCACACCTGATGCTCTCTGGTTCTTTCTTCCAGACTCCCAAGACAGCTGGGCTGCGACCAATGGAAAAAAAGGACATTGCAGTAGTGCACAAGCTCCTCACCCAGTACCTGAAGCAGTTTCACCTCACGCCAGTCATGAGCCAAGAGGAGGTGGAACATTGGTTCTACCCCCAGGAGAATATCATCGACACTTTTGTGGTGGAGGTGAGTGGGGAGGGGTGTTCTGGGCCTCTGCCCCGTTGGCGGGGAGGCGTCCTCCCTAAGTGGCTGGAGTCCCCAGCCTCGGTGACTGAAGAGCGATTGATGGGAGTGTTGGCACCCTAGACTTCCTTGACCATCCGTGCTTGGTCCCCACTAAAGACAGGAAGTTGTAGCTTGCGTTGGCTAAGATGAGCCCTTCCTCTTCCCCTCCCCCACCCCCACTGGTGACTCCCAGTATAGAGAGCTGAGCCCCTCTCGGTCAGGTGAGCCTTCAACTCCCTGCCTGTCCCCGCTTGGTCTGGTGCCGGCCAGGTGTGCTGGGTCCTGGGAGCTGTGAGAAGGCCCTGGCACCACAGGCGGGGAAGGATCATGGCAGGTTCAGCCCATAGCCCCCCCTGGATTTTCCTTCCAGTTCTGTCCTCAAGTTCCCCCGGCCATGTGTTTTCTCCTCCGTGCATATCCTGTTTCAGTTTCCACCCATTCATCTAGAGCGGCAGAGCTGCCTGAGGGTGGTGGAGTGCAGTAGAAAACATTTTATTCCCAGGTTGCAGGAACCCTGTGCCCATGTGACACTGCCTTCTTCCTATTGTCTGCCCTTCAGAATGCAAACGGTGAGGTGACCGATTTCCTGAGCTTTTATACACTTCCGTCCACCATCATGAATCACCCGACCCACAAGAGTCTAAAGGCTGCTTATTCTTTCTACAACGTTCACACCCAGACCCCTCTTCTAGACCTCATGAGCGACGCCCTCGTTCTCGCCAAAATGGTAAGCAGCAGATCAGAGGGAAGGGGCCGTGGGGCGGTGGTGAGCACGGCTCGCAGGTAGCTGCCCACAGGCTGGGAGCTTTGAGGCCTCCTCCCCCTCGTGCTCCACCAGCCTAGCACTTTTCAGCCAGCAGCTCAAAACTAGGAGGGAGCAAGGAGCGCCCACACTAAGTGAAGGCATTGAACTCCTTCTGATTTATTTCAGTGAGTTTTGTTCTCACGGTAGGCACTGCCAAGGAGCCTGAATAGCCAGGCCTGCTCGGGGAGTAGAGGTGTTCTCCTTACGACCTCCCCAGGGTGGGAATGGGGAGATCGGTGTCTGTTGCGGTGAGTCATTGGAGCGGCTGACAGTAGAGCATGGGGGGAGGGGCCCGGGCTTCTCTTAACACTGGAGAGGTCTCCAGGCAGTCCTGCCCCATGGGTTCTGCCTGCGCCTGGCCCAGCCCACTGTGCGCCAGCTGAACAATGACAGGCCAGTCGCTGCCCTGGGAGAGCTTCTGATCAAGCTGGTGAGATTTAGGAAGTGTCTGTTGCAGCCTCAAAGCAGCGTATCAAATGTCGTAAAATCCCTCGGTGCACAGAGGCCTCGGAGTTGGAATGTCAGGGAGTGAGGGAGCAGTGCAAATGCCCAGTGGCTCATGGGAGTCAGCTTTTCAGAGGAAAAGGTTCAGGGCTTGGTCTCCAGAGAGGGCTGTGGAAATTACGAGAGTGTTTCAGGGAAGTGTAACAAGGAACAGTGGGAGCGGTGGCCTGGACACTGAGTACACAAGTGTGTACTGAGGCGCACGCCGAGGAGAGGCCGGGCAGGGTGCTCAGAGCATCATAAGAACCACCCCCAGGGAGCGGGGTGCTGGCCGCAGTCTGGATGTAACATGGAAGCAGCAGGAGCTTCTGAAGGAAGATTGCTCCCCTGGCCGCCTGTGGATGGTTTTGATATGATAGAAAAGGGCAGGAAGGTGAGGTAGCTTTCACCTGTCTTCACCTGTTCTTGTCTCTCCCTGCTGCCATGCAGAAAGGGTTTGACGTATTCAATGCACTGGATCTCATGGAGAACAAAACCTTCCTGGAGAAGCTCAAGTTTGGCATAGGGGACGGCAACCTACAGTATTACCTTTACAATTGGAAGTGCCCCAGCATGGGGGCAGAGAAGGTACGTACGCGCTAGGTGCCGCCTCCCACCGAGCTCCCTCGCGGTCAGGCCCTCGGCTGGGCCTGTGTGGGTCAGGGAATTGGCGTCTCCAACGGAACCAGGACCTCGGGTCTGGGATCCAGCATCAGTCTGGACCCTTGAAAAGTCCCTCCCTCTGGTGACCAGACTAGGAGGGTCCGTATTCTCCTTTCAGTGGCTGATGTGAGGGTGGCGGAGGGCATGGGCCCTAGAGCCGCGCAGAAGCAGGAAGGTAGTCTCCAGCCTCTCCTCCCACCCGGTGAGCTGCCGCATCCAACTGGGGGCAGGGCTTCAGGACCGTCTCAGGACACTGTGCGAGTCGCGTGCCCCCAGTCAGGCAGGAAGGGAGAGTCTGAGGCCCTGAGGGGGTTTTCCTCTGCTGGGCTGCTGCCCTTATCCCAGTGTGGTCCTCCCTCCCCCGCCAGCTCCAAAAGGTGGCTCAGGGCCATGGGGGTAGCTGGCGTTTACGGGATGACTGACAGGTGAGGGCACCCTTGTGCCCAGTAGTCCTCAGGCTGCCGCAGCTGCTTTCATTAAAAGATCTGGTGTATAAAGCATCAGAGGAGGTTGGGTGAGAGCCCCGGGCTCGCTCTGAGCCTGCTCACTGAGCACGGTGGCGCTCTGCGGGCTCCACCAGTCATTGGGACTGCAGGACTGGGCGGGGGAGTGGGAGAGGCTTTGGACAGCTGTCACCTCAACTCTGCCTCTCCCCCCTTGGCTCTCCTAGGTTGGGCTGGTGTTACAGTAACCAGTTGCCAGTGAGATTCTGGATAAAGCCACTGAGAATTCAAACCAGGAAATGGAGCCCCACCACTTGTTGGTCCAGTTTTCACAAACGTGAGAATCCCTGGCAAAGGGACCAGAACTGAACTGGTTTTACAAACCGCCACTGAACTTGATGATTGTATTGCAATGGCGTAGGCTGCGTGATGTCACCTCTGGCCGTGTCTCTGGTCTCCCTGTTTTCCAATTAATCACATCATTATGCAGCCATGGTCAAGGGAATGTAACTGCTGAAAACTAGCTCGTGATTGGCATATTATGGAATTAACGGGTGAATAATAAAAGTATATATATATTATATATATATATATAAATATTTTAAATATCTTTCATGTTCCAAATGTACAAGGATGTTTGGTCTCTAATGAAAAACTGAATCCAGATCATTCCTCAAAATTAGAATCTCAGGCCAGTGCCAGACAAACACGTTGGTACAGTGAATTGTTTCCTTCTGAAAGCAGGCATTGACTTTTCTTGGGGGAGCAGGAGAAAGAGGATGTGGGGAATATTATCCAGTTCCCCTCTGAATCAGCTGGAATACTGGCTTCGAGAAGGCGGGCTGGGGTGGAAGGGCTGTGCAAGCTTTGGGGAGAGCTCGGCTCTCTTAGAACGGCAGGTGGAGTCCTGGCTGGGGCTGACTCAACTCGGAGCTTTTCCTGAGGGGCCGCGCCTTTTCTGCATCCTGAACCTGGGCAGCGGGGATGAGCTGTGGAAGCGGGTTTCATGAATCAAGTCCCTCTTGCAATCCTCTTGGCCTGCTCCCTGTAGGAAGTCATCCTGCCAACTGAGTTTTAAATCAGGGCTCATTAGCCAGCTGTTGCCAACCGTATGTTACGGGGATCAGTCCCCTGTGAGATGATGTTTTTCCACTGCCTGGGGTGACTGGCAGTTTGAAGGGGACCTTTGACCTCCTTGTAGCATCTGGATCGTTGTGGAGACCACATCAGTGCAAATCCTGCTTAGCTCATCTTAGAGCAAAGAGCCAGGAGGACCCTGATGCCCCCAGGGTGGTTGGGCAAGGATGGCGTGGGGCCGACGATACCCAGACCTCCAGCCACCAGCCCTTGGCCTGTGCCTTCCAACCCATTAGCCATCTCTCATGCTCCTTTCCGAGACACACAGCCTGCGAGTAGCGGCAAGGAGTGGTGGCTAGACGCTGATCTGGACTTGGCGACAGAAATGATTTCCTGTTGTCGTTGTCTGAGTCTGATTTTCACTGATGGTGTTTTGTGGATTTTTGTGGTGGTGGTGATGGTTGCTGATGCTGCTGGTGGCCCCCGGAATAATGGAGCTTCTGGTCGCACGGCTGTCGTGTAGGCATCCCTCAGTTGTGCTCAGCCCAGTGGCTTGGGGAGGATCGGGCTGTGAACTGTCGGCAGCAACCCATGTCCAGGCTTGTATGTAAGTTTTGCTCTAGGAGGAGGTAAATGGTGTGGGGTGGGGTGCTTCCACCTGGCTGCTTTCACCTCTCAGCTACTTGTAGAGGGGAGGAAGCCTTAGCTCGCAGGCCTGTAGGGCCGTGTTGCAGGCTGTGGGTTTTGGTGAGCTATGCCAGAGGCTGATTCTGCAGGGTCCCCAGAGCTGGAGGGAATCGTGTGCCTGGGATGGGGCTGTTCTGCCCCTGCACACGCAGGGGTGCTGCCAGCTTCCCGCAGATGGCTGCTGGAGCCAGCAACTCCACTGATTGGCTTTTCATCAGAGGCCTCTAGGGGCCTCCCTTCTCCTTGTCGTCCCCGTGCTGCAAACTGCAGGCACTGATCATGGCTGACCTTTGACTCCTTGACTCCGAGATGCCCAGACCAAAGAAGCTGCTGTTCTTAGCAAGGTGTGCACTGCATTCCACGGACGGTGGGAGTCGGAGAGGCAGGGCTCGCCCCACAGCCATCAGACACACCCCAAGGCCCAGAGCAGCCCGCCCTGTGCAGGCTTCTAAGGATGTCAAAGAACAGAGTGCCCAAGTCTCCTACCTTGGGCAGGACCTGGAACTTGGAAAAGCTCCCTGTCACAGGCTTGGTCAGCTCGGGGCCAGGTCCCAGCCCGAGCTGCCTCTGAAATTTGAGGTGCACGACAGCGCCGGGAGTGAGCTTTGCCTTGGTGACTGAAGTCACGGAATGGAAACTGTGAGGCCCGTGCCTGTTCTGGAAGAAACAGATTTCCTGGAGAGGCCCCAGTGTCTCCCTCCAAAACCCTGCGACTGCTCCTTGGACCCTGCCGCCTTCAGCGCCGCCGCCGCCCAGGTCTGCGGGAGTCGGTTCGGTGGTTGCTGTTAGTCTCCTTTTTGCCCAAACAGCCCCTGGGTTCTTCACGCGACTCGTTCCAGGACTTCAGGTCAGAGAGCTCAGAGAGAACCAGTGCTTGGGGTTTGGGGCCTTGCAGGATGGTGGACCCGTGGCTGGCTTGAACCCAACGAGGGAAAGGCCCGGGGCCTCCATACTCATCCGTGGGGACCTGCCTTGGGCAGCTCCTCTTGGTGGGCTTCCCGGGTGTGGCCCTTAACCTCTGCCTCCAGCGCTGGGCTCTCGGACTCCATGTTCCAGATGTTCACTCCTGCCTTTGGATTGACTCTGCATTTGACCCCTGACCCTGTGGCACATTCCCACGGCCTCCTCACTCTGTAAGGAGAGAGCTGGGGAGAAAGGAGGCCTCAGCTCTGGACTGAGGTCAACTACATAGGGCTCGTTTCCCCCACGCGTGCCCACTTCCGAAGATGCGGACATCTGGTTTGAAGGCCGGCCCACACCAAGCCACTTCAACACCTCGGTTTATGGAAAATTTCAGGCCTTGCTGCAGCTCCCTTCTAACTGCCGTCACATACTTGCTGAAGCCCGGGGTGGGTGTCTTGAATTCTTTGTCCAAAGATGGCCCAAAGGCCTGGATAGCTTCACAGAGCTACAGCCAGGGAGAGGGTGGTGGCAGGCCGGGGTGGGGTGTGGGGCAGGAGCGTATTTCTGGCTGGTGCCTCCTCACCCAGGGGCAGCCTTCCTGAGGCCTGGCCCGCCTGCCCCAGAACCAGAGGAGAGCTGGGGCTGTGGTTTACTACTGCAAGGTGACGGCAGGCCTGCAAACAGACCGTCCCTAGGGACGCCGTGGGGGAAATTTCACTCAATTCAGTGCAAAAATATTGACTGCCGGCCGGCAGGGTGCCACATCGGGGAACAGGGAAGTGGGAAGCTTCACCTTTCTGTCTTGGCTTTTCTCCAGGCTGTGGGAGGGGCATCCATTTCCGGGGTGGGGGGAGAAATGCCAAATGCATTGTTGTTCTGCTTGGTACATCTCACTTGTTTCTAATAAAGGAAACAGCTGAACAAAACCCTCCCGCCCTCCTGTATTCCTCTGGTCAGCAGGTGGCCGTGGAACCGATGCAGCCCCCGGCCTGGGCTGGAGCCCTCTCGCTCTGCAGGGAAGGCCCTCGTGACCACAGCACCGGGCAACTTCTGAACACCTTCCTTTGACAAGGCTGCCCTTTCAGGGCCAGCTTGGCTCTTTGCCCCTAACCGCTCCCACCCGCCAGCAAGGAGCCGGTACTGACTCAGGTTCCTCTGTGTAAGAGGAGCAACCAGGCTCAGCGCCAGCACCCTCGGTCCGGGTCAGCGTGGCTCCTCTGATGGAGGGCGCAGGCACCGCCCCTCCCCCTTGTCCAGATGTCACACCTCCCCTTGCAGGCCAGGGGCCGGGTGGTTCTGTTGAGACACCGGGGGTGCTTTTAATGCTGCAGGCCGGCAGGTCCCACTGAACCAGAAAGGTTCCCAGGAAGGGCCTGAGAAACCGCATCTAGACTTCCTGTGTGTCGTGTGTGTCCCCCCGCCCACCCCCTCTTCTCTTCCTCTGGACCTTTTCATCCATTCCCCCCATGGCTGGTGCTTCCGAGCCCCTTCCCAGGGAACCTGGGCCCTGAGCGGCACCCTGAGAGGACACAGGATCTGCCCCTGGGATCATCCGTGAGGCCTTTCCCAGTCCTCCTAGACCCCCACCCTACGTCTCTCCCCAGCCCCAGAGCAGCTGACTCCAGCTCCTGACAGCGGGCCTGCGGGCCTTCGCTCCCGTCTTAGGCTTGGGCTGGGAGAACACAGCCCTGTGGGTGGTCTCCACCCAGGGGTCTCCAGAATTATGAGCTGTGTTTCTTCTTTGCCCCCAGCTCCCATAATCAGTTCCTGTCAGCTTTTTTGCCTTAAAGACTCTCGCCCTTTGAAGGCCATCTTCCCAGCCTTCGGGCTCTTCTCCTAGCAGTAAACCCTTCCTCTGCTGCACCACGCCAGAGACGAGAAGCAGGACGGGGGGCTCAGCCGGGGCGCCCGTGTTCACCTGACAGGAGCCCCAGCCCAGGCCCTGCGGGGACCGGACAACTCTCAGTTGCCCTTCATATGCCAACACTGGACCTGGCCTCACCGTGCCCCCAACCGTGGGGCTGCAGTTTGGCCGCCTGCCTCTCCTGACAGCCGTGAGTGTTGTGTACCAAGGCCGCCCAGCCCATTCCTTCACGGTTCCTGGACAGGGGGGCATCTGGGCCCCTTCAGAGTCTGATTGTCTTCTTTCAGACACACTAATTCCTCAGAACCGAATGCCCCTCTTGGTGTAAACCGAGAGCAGGGTGAGGCTGTCACTTCTGCATCAGGCAGGAAGGTGGAGACAGCCCAGCCCTGGGTTCTATGGGAGCAGCTTCCAGCCCCAGCCCAGCCCAGCCCTGCCCCAGCCCACCCTCTGGGAACTGCCGTCAAGCTCAGCCCTTGTTGCTTGAGGGAACCCCAGATGCCAGGGCTCCACATTTAATCCCAGAAAGTCACCTTTCTGATAGGTCTCCTCTGGATTCTGCCTTCTGGTGTCTGGGCACCTCTCCCAGCATCTCTAGGGGTGCCTGGGGCGGCCCGCTGCTTTCCAGGCCTTTGTCTAGAAGGCTGGTTGGCTGGTGGAAGGAGAGTTCCAGGTCTCTGGGATTCGTCTACTGAGCAGACAGGGGCCTCGAACCCAGCTGAGCCTGGAAAGGGGGACTCTGTCTGGAGTCCCTCAGAGGCCTGTCCCCGCCCCCTTGAGGGCCATCACAATCCTGCTCTGGCAGAAGCCCACCTACCTGCCCCGCTCCCCGTCCAAGGCCCCTGGTGTACGTGCTGTGGGGGTGGCTTTGTGAGCTGCTGTCCTCACAGTCTTGTGATGCTGGCAGCAGCTTTGAGCCAAGAGGAAGGGTCAGGGCTATTTTGAGCTGCGGCAGCTCCTCCAGCACCCCTGGCTGTCTTAGACAGGGAGCCCAGATGCAGCAAGAGGCCCAGGGCACGCTCCCTCTGCCCCGTCCCTCCTCATAGGCCTGTGGGTGTGGCCTCAGAGGTGCTCAGGGCGTGGCAGTGGTAAAGTAAACTTGCTTCTTTATTGTGTTCTGCTGTCCTCTCCAGGGCTCTTCTAAAACAAGTTAAAAATCTCCTCCCAGGTTTACCCAAGGCTGAGCCTCCCTCTCCCTGCCTGCTTTAACAAGGGAGTGGCACTCAGGTTCCAGAGCTGGAGGGAGGAGCCCAGAAAGCCTGGAGGGGGAAGGAGGGCCTTACGGGGTGGCTAACGCCTGGGGAGGGGGCAAGGGGGTGGCTGGGCTCCTTGTGGGAAGGAGGCTGGGACGGGGCAGAGAGTGGCTGAGGGCTTACATGTCCTGCTCCCCAAGTCTCCTGGCAGCAACGGGCCTGGCTCTTCAGAAGCCACGACGACCAGGTGGGCTGAGCACCCGAGGAGCTGGGGGCATCTCACAGCCCAGGGAAAAGATCAACTGCCTGTTCTTCAGGAGGGGCTGAGGCGGCCCTCAGCACCCAGTTGAGAACAGAGCCTGGCGGGCAGGCTAAGTGGGAGGCTGGAGGGCTGGCCCTCCGTCACCCCTCCTCTCCAGAGGAGGAGACGGCCTCCGCTGAGGGATGCAGACTGGCACCTGCAGAACCCAGGGTGGCTCAGCTGTGCCGTCAGGAGCGCTGGATGCAGATGTGGACAAAGAGGGTGGCTGGTGACAGTGAGGCCCCGTCCTTGGAAAGCAGGTGGATGTGGCGGTATCCTGCCGGGAGGGTAGCCCGGTGTCAGCTTCTCTGCCCACCGCCCTGCGGGGCCAGGCTCTCGGAGGGAGTGGGCAGCCCGGGTGAACAGGGTCTTGGAGGCCCGGCCCCCCTTCTCTTTCCACCCCTGTCAACCCCACCAACCTTGCTTCAGGCTGCTGAGAGGCAGTGTAAACTGGCCCACAAAGTCATTGGGGGACGTGGCGTCATAATCTTCTACCACGAACCGGACCAGCACCAGCTCCGGAGCCCGCAGCTGGAACTGCAGGGTCTGCCCCCAGCGGGGGTTGAAGCCTAGGGCGCAGGCCTGACCGTCAAGAGCCCGCCCTGCACCTGCCCCGCTCCCCGCTATCTGCCCCCAGCTCGCCCCAGCAGGGCCCCCACCGTTGTTGAGCACGTAGTTGGTCTCCTTGCAAGCACAGTCTGCGGGCACCCCGTGGATCTCAATGCGCACCAGCGGGTCCACGATGGAGTTTGGCTTCTCGGCATTCAGCTTGGGCAGCTGCTGCGCGGTCAGCACCTGCGCGGGAGCGAGGGGAGCTGCAGCCTAGCCCAAGGGGCTCACACCGGCCCTCCCGCTCAGGACCTGGAGGCGGACCGCCCTCCCGCGAGCTGTCCCCAGGCCTCTGCTATCCTCAGGCTGGCACCCCGCAGACAGGGACCCCAGGCAGGGTGTGGTCCAGGCTGCTGACCTGGATGGTGAAAGTCGTTCTGGGGGGTCCAGGACACTCAGGGTCAAAGGTTGTGTCAGGCTGCCGCAGACAGGTAGGTTTCAGGACATAGCCGCACTGCCCATTGATAAGGAAGCGCCCGGCATTGAGGTCCATCTCATAACCTGGCGTCTGGAAGTTCAGGGCCACTGTGGACACAGCGGGGGCAGGGCAGGGGCTCTCAGTGGCCCTCTCTTCACTGCTCAGTTTCAGGAGTCTCACTGCCCTCCCCACCGGACACACCTCATGGGGCGAGGACTCAGCTCTCTCTAGAGAGGGCCCAGGGTCCCACTGCCTGGGTAGTGATATCCCACCCCTACCATGGCTGGGGGGTTTCACGGCAGCCTCCACAGCTGGAGCCGGAGGGTGGGGCTGGGCCTGGGGCCGGGCCAGAGGCAGGATCCAAGGAAGCCCCATGTTTCCCTCCCTGCCCCCAAGGGGACCAGGCTCCTCTCCTTCGGCTCTGCTCGGCCTCCCTCCAGAACACGCGCTCGTCAGCGTTGCTTAGTGGGGACTGCCGGGCTGTGTGCGTGTGTGTATGGGGCACATGGGAGCGGAGGTTTTGAATTTCCACCTGCATGAAAAGTTTTGAGATCGTGCACTGGCTCGTTCACACAAACGAGCCTGCTTTGTGTTTCCCCACCTTCCTTGTTGATCAGTCTTTTAATCACTGGCATCTATAGGACTCATTTCTCCACCTTCTGGAAAGCTGTGCGGCCTCATCACCGCTGGGGCCGCCGTGGCCCCCTGCCCACCCCCTCTCCCCGGCGCTCCCACTCACCCAGCTGACAGCCCGAGTTCCACATCTCCTGGGGGTTGTAGTTGGCGGAGTTCATCCGCAGCCCCAGTGGGTAGACACGGGTCAGTTGGCAGGCATTGTGCCTGATGAAGCTGTTCCCTGAGGGAGAGTTGGGGCAGGACTGTGACAGCCCCTGGGCTGTGGCTCACCGGGTGCCAGGGCCTGTCCCCTCCCCTCCCCCACCTCCAGAGACAAGCTGGGAACAGAGGCTGAACTCCCATCCCCAGCTCCCCCGCCCCGGCTCCTTGTTCTCTCTGATGAGGGGACGGGGGTCCTCACAAGGAGGCTGCTGAAGTCCAGAGAGGGGCAGGGACCCCCCCCCCGCTCCCGCCGCCTGACACTGCCTCCCACCCCAAGTCCCCACGTTCCCAACTTGGTGGGTGGAGCACTTGGCCCCAGGCTGGCATCCCCTGTCTTTCATGGCTCATCCCACAAGCACTCCTCCAGCCACGCCTCTGGTTCCAGGAACCCTTCCTGTACCTCAAGCCTCCAGGCCTTGGGCCAACCTGCTCCTCCTGTCTGAAGTCCCCTCCCCCTCTTCACCTGGCTGCTTCCGCCTCATCCTTCAGTCAGGTGTCTTCTCAGCCACCACTTGCTCGGGAACCCTTCTCTGGTCTCACCCCCTCCTGCTGGGCTTCCCCAGGCTCCGTCGTGCCTGTCCTGCCCGACTGATCACCCGGCACCGTAATTATCCATCTGTGTCTGGCCCCACCACTAGGCTGTGAGCTGGTGAAGGCAGACAGCAGCCTCCCCTTCCTGTGCCCTTTTCCCTCTACGTACGCCTGGCCGGGTGCCAGGCGTGTGCTGGGCACTCATTCCCTGAGCCCCTCTTTTCACTGCCCCCGAAGCCCTTTCGCACTCCTTTCCAGATCAACTTCAGCATCTACCACCCACCAGCAGCCTGCAGGTCCCCCAGAGGCCCGACGTCCCGGCTCCTACCTGCCTCTCGGATGAGCTTCTTGGCCTTGCGCTCGCTGAGGGAGCTGACCTGGCAGGGCTGGGGCGGGGCTGGGGCAGGGCGCAGGGTCCGCAGGCGGCTGGCACAGCAGTACACGGCCAGGGCCGACAGCTCCGGGGAGATCTGCTTGGCCTGGGAGATGAGCCTCAGCGGGGGTCTGCCCACTCCAGACCCCTGGTCCTCCCACCTTCCTTCCCTCTGCCACCTGCCCCCAAGCTCCACAGTGGCCTCAAGCCCCTGCCCAGCCCGGGCTGGCCCAGCCAGGCCCACTCACCCGCCGCCTCTGCTCTGGGGCCCCCGCCTCCTCTTCTTCGTCCTCGTCTTCGTTGTCCTCCTCCCGGTCTGACAGAATTCGACCGTCCTCATTCCGAGCAGCTGGCAGCCTCTTCCCCTTCACCAGGACCCGGCCCTTCAGCTGCTGTAGAGACCAACACGGAAAAATTAAGCCCTTTTGCCCCTGTGTCGGCCGGTCAATCTATCACTCAGCCACCACTGTGTGAGGGGCTGGCCCAGGGTGGCGAGCAGCGAAGGAGACACAGATGAGTGATGTTTCTAATAGGAAGAAACCTATGAGGGAAACAGCCCCATCCACAGGGGACTGGCTAATGGGGTCCCTCTAAGCATCAGCATCCTACACAGCAGCCAGTAAAATGAATGAGGCGGCTCAGGGTTGAGAGAGACGGTGCTCTCTTCAAAAAAGATCTCATTTTAAAAAAAAAAAAAAAAAAAAGATCTCGTGAAAGAAGCGCATGTAGAATACGTGTTCACGTGATCTTCGTGCACCATTTGAAAGAGAAGATAGCTGTGTACATAGCTATATATATGCGTGGGAAAGTTCTGGAAGGATACACAAGACACTGTTGAAGATGCTCACTTCTCCAGAAATAGGACGGGGGGAGCCTGAGTGGAGGAAAATCCGTGTTCCATTGTGTATGCTTTTCTGCGGCTCCATCTTTTCTTTTACCATATGTATGTTATTTTCATACCGACAAAAAAATCACACACAAAGGTGAACCTACATTCCTTGCATAATTTGGGATTGGGAGGAGGAGGAGAGTTTTCTCAAAGAGCCCCAAAAGGATGAGTGTCCTGAAGGGGCAGATGAAATGCTCTGGGGGTTGGGAGGAAAGGAGGAAGGACCACTTCTGGCCAGAGAGCTGAGGAAGTTGTTAAGGCCACAGGAAGAGGCCCTTTACGCTGAGCTAGAGCTCTAAGCAGGTGGCGCTTGGCGAGCACAGATGGCTAGGAAGGGAGCTTCAGATGGAAGAGACAGTGTCAACCAAGGCCTTTGAGATGGGAATGGCCAAGCCTGCAGGGACTCCGTGGGCAGGAGGCAGAGCGGGGAGGTCAGGGCCAGGTCGTAGAGGGCCTTCGATGCCAGGTGACAGGGTGGGGTGTGTCTAGTCAAAATGGAAGGCAGACAAGTGACTAGACCACAGGGTGGCAGATGTCAGATGAACGGAGAAGCGGAGGAAGGTTAAGACAGAGAGGGGAGGGGCCCTGAACAAGGGAGGTGGATGTGGACCTCGGAGCCAGACCCTCCCCCGACCCAGGCTGGGGGTCCGGGAGCATCACCTCTGGGGACGGCAGCTCTTCAGGGTTCTGGGAGTCCAGCAGCTGCGTCACCAGCATGTCCCCCAGGATGGTGTGGAGGTGACGGGCCATGGCAGCCTGCTGCTCCAGCCCACAGTGGTTCTCGAGGGACAGGATGACGGGGTACGGAGACAGCTGTGGGAGGGAGGGTCAGCAGCTCAGTCACTCACCCCTCCCCCACCAGGACCCCTGCTATGCCCGGCCCCCAACCCCTTTCAGGCCAGGCAGGCAAAGGCAGGGCTCTGCAGAACCCACTCTGGGGGAGACTGAGTGCGTGGATGTGGGACACACTGGGGTCAGCGTGCACGTGGAGGGGCAGAGGTCAGATCTGGGGCCTCGGGGAAGGGGTAGAGTGTCTGGGGGCTGAGGGGGGCTGCAGGAATGTTTTTTTCGAATGTTCTTTATCTGTTAATGACACTGACCATGCCGTTTAGGTGGCACACTTTTGGTCCCAGCCCATCATTTGCTGACGGTAAGGTTTGTATAGCTCGACAGAAGTTGCAATTTTATGTAGGTGCAACACTGAGCCTCTCACGATTTTCTCTTTGCGAGTCACGATTAAAAGGTCCTTCCCTACCCACAAGGTTTTCTTCTGGAAATTTTACGATTTTAATACATTTACTAAATATAAGGGTGGGAGAAGGGAGCCTCTCACCCAGCTTTATTCTACCCCATTGGGCAGTTGTCCCAGCAGCACTTGGTGAAAGTGAGTCCCTGGGCAGGGGTTTCTTTTGTTTCGGGGGGTTTTTTGTTTTGGGGTTTTTTTGGCCGCACCACACGCGGCATGCAGGATCTTAGTTCCCTGACCAGGGATCGAACCCGTGCCCCCTGCAGTGGAAGCACAGAGTCTTAACCACTGGACCACCAGGGAAGTCCCAGGGGTTTCTTCTGGAAGGACTGAGACCAGCTGATGTCATGGGGAAGGCTCTGGGGCTGGGCGTGGGAGTCCCAGGGCTCACCGTGAAGGCATGGTCACGCACTGCCTGGATCACGTCTCGGAAGAGGATCTTGGAGGTGAGGGTGTGGCCATGGTAGATGACCGGCTCCCCTCCTGGCCCCTCCCAGCAGTCAAGCTCCACACAGCGGCATCCCTGGGCAAAGGCTCTGCGGACAGATGGATGGATGGGCAAGGTGTCGTATGGGTGGCACAGAGCAGGGCGATGGACAGGCCCCCAGGTAGGCCCCAGGAAGCCCATGGCGGGAGCTGAGCCCCATGTCCATCCCCAAACTGGCTCCCAGACATGTTCACTCCCACCATCCCCCCCACTATGGTACCTAACATAGGCCTCGGTGCTGCTGGGCCCACCGATCTGAGAGTCGGTCAGGTAGGTATTATGGGAGGAGGAGATGAAGTAGTGGGCCAGGGGCTGGTTCATGTCCTGGAACACACACGTGTGGGCCGGGTTCAGGGCAGCCCCCTCAGGCGACAACAGGTACATCATGAAGCCATCCAGAGTCATCAGCTCGTGCTGCTTGGCTGAAGGAATGGGCAGAAGAGAGCATCACGGGGGACCCCTTTGTCTGGCCCTAAAATGCCTCAAAGCTCACTCAACTTAGTAATAGTGAGCACCTGTCTACTGACTGGACTCCACGTAAGTTACGCCTTTTTTTTTTTTTTTTTTTGGCCACACCTCGCAGCTTGCGGGATCTGTTTCCCGACCAGGGATTGAACCCGGGCCACGGCAGTGAAAGGCTGGAATCCTAACCAGTAGGCCACCAGGGGGCTCCCAAGTTATGCCATTTCATTTCAACCCAACCCTGTGAGGACGGTACATTACTATGCCATTTTACAGATGTGGCAGCTGAGTCTCAGAGAGGCAAGGTAACCTGCCCAAGATGGTGCCCACAGCCTGTAATAGCAGAGCCCACTTAGCTGGGAACCCGGACCTGTCAGATGCCGAGCCCTGGGCCGTGTTGGCCCCAGCCCCATCTGTCAGACCCCTCACCTGTCTCGTTGAGCTCATAGGTGTGGATGAGCTGCTGGGCGTGGGCCAGTGTGGCGTCATCCTCACCCTGGTCCTCCAGGAACTCCAGCAGCTCGGGGGTGCTCAACACCCGGTCCTCGCCCGAGTACCGATGGAAGATCTCCTCCAGCTCGGGGCGTTTCAGCAGCCGTCGCAGAAACTCCTCGATCTCAGGCCCCTCCAGCCACTCATTGTTGGAGCGGTCACACTCCTGGAGAGCAGGAGGGAGAGATTCAGAGGAGGAGGACACCCTGGGAGAGCTGGCCTGCGCTGACACACCCGTCATCCACCACGTCTGGGAAGGAGGCACTGTCCGCAGTTTCACAGGTGGAGAAACTGAAAGCTAGCCAGGCTCCGGGTCTCACTCAGACTCACACAGCTGCTAAATCACAGGCTGGGATTCTAAGAAAGGACTCTGGGGTTCATCGCCTGTTCCTCTGCCCCACGACCTACTCCAAGAATCAAGATGTGGGAGGAAAAACTGTGAGCCCTGGGCAGGGCTGAGCCCCGGGCAGGGCTGAGCCCCGGTGCCAGAATCCCCGCTCCCGTGTGTATACGCTACCGTTCTCAGCCTCACACGTTCACACCCAGGGGCAGTGAGCAACACATAACAGAATTCACGTGGCGCTATCGGCCCAGGTGCACTGGTGCCGTGGCCCCTTCTGTCTTTTGGGGTCACAGTCAACATCCACACAGGTGTCTCCACGTGATCCAACTGGGCCACGGATGCACAGCCCACCTCCGTGGGCCCCTGTCTGTGCTCCCACATGGGGGGTGTACATGGTCACGTGTGGAGGTGCCACACATGCCACAGTGGAGGGGGTGCGCTCCTGTGTGTACCCGTGAGCCTGAGGTCCTCCCTACCTGGGCTCTGCCTGAGGGTGAGGAAAGGAGCTCTGGGCCAGCACTCCCATCCTGGCCCAGTGGCTTCACTGGGTTGAAAGTGTACCTAGGCCCAGATGTGGCCTTTCTGCAGAGAGAGGCCACTCTCCACAAAAGCTGGCGGGTGGGAAGGGGGAGGGGACTGATGGCTCAGATGGCTGGGGGAAGGCAGAGGGCAGGTGGGAAGGGGGAGGGAACTGGTGACCCAGATGGCTGGGGGAAGGCAGAGAGCAGAGGCCAGAATGGCGGCAGATGCCCACCTTGAAGAGGCCGTAGGCGTACATGTCGTTCATGTCCACGTTGACCATGCGGAGCAGGTTCTTGATCTCCTTGAAGCTCATCTTACTGTCCTGGTTGGAGTCCGCTCGATGCAGGTAGAAGTGGATCCAGGTGTGGGTGCTCAAGAAATACTAGAGACAGGCTGGGCCCAGCCCCCTGATGACAGGTAACTTACAGGTATGGCATACCCCCACCCCCGCCCTGGGGGCTCCCAGGTTTGGGGGCTGTGGTTTCCCCTCAGCCTGTGGACCCCCTGAGTGCCCCAGCCGCACGTCCTCCACGGGAACGGGCTCCCCGTCACCACCCTCGGTTCTTAAGACAAGGGGCTCTATCTCAAACCGCGGGTCCCTAAGGGCGGAGCCACGCCTCCCCTGGGCCTGAGGGTCCTCCCGGCACACGGCCGGCCCCCCTCCCCGCGCGGTCCGCTGCCTTCCCCGGGAGGATATTGGTCGAGGCGCTCGCGCTGGCTCATGGCATCGAGGCGCGCGCGCAGCTTGGCCAGACCGCGCACCCAGCGCTGCGCCTCCTCGGCCGTGGGCGCCGCCAGGTCCAAGTTCTTGCGACGCCCCTTGAAGGCGATGGTTAGGCAGCGCGCCGGCTCGAAGGCGCCCCCGAAGCGCCGCAGGCCCTCGGACTGGTGGCCCTCGCGGACGGCCTCGATGTGCTGCACGAAGACTGCGGAGAGGGACGGGACGCGCGCGGCCGGGTCAGGGCGGCGGGGCCGGGTCTCCACTGTCCCCAGCCTGCCCGCGCCCGCCCGGGCCCCAGCTCACAGATGTGCTGCGAAGGCGCGCGCGGGATGCGCCGCTGGAACCACACGCTCAGGCCGTCCTCCTGCAGCCGGTACAGCCGCTCCTTTTGCCATGTCCGCGAGCGGATCTTGCAGAGCCGGGAGCCCCGCAGCATGGCGCGCACGTCCTCGTCCTCCGTCAGGCCTGCGGGGGCGGGAGGTGATGGGCATCCTGGCTGGCCCTGCTTGCAGGTTCCCTCCACCCTCCTCCCAGCAGGGAGGTGCGGCCTCCCTCCCCAAGCCTCTGTAAACTCTCCCAGGCGGCTCTTCCTCTCCCTGTAACAGGCCCCAATACCGGCTTCGGCTGTAGGCTCTTTGGCCCCAAGGCCTGTGCTTGGTGTGTCCCACCCAGGCCACCCTGGGAGGGGTGCCAGTAACAGGCCTGCCCTCCCCCGTGTCAAGCAGCCTCGTCTGGAGGCCCTCAGGGCAGAGCCCAAGGCGGCGCCTGGGACTCAGGCCTCGCTAAAGGTCACTCTTTCTGCCACTCCCCTCCATCACGGCCTCCAGCCTTCAAGCCTGGGATCTGCCATCAACAGCCTTTTCCCTTGACACGAAAACCTGACCATCAAGAGGGTAGTCTCACTATCTAACCTAAATCTTTCCTGCTGCAACCCAAGCTCCTCACCTCTGCTTTCCCGAAGACAAGGGAGGACAGCAGAGGTCACTCTGGCTCCAGGGTCTCAGACCAAGCATGCCAGGCCCAGTCCTGCCTTGGCCAGCCTGGGGCTGATCTCCAGATGCCCTGGTGGGGCCCAGCTGAAAGCATGATCTCCTGTGACACTTGGTATCCCCCTTGCCCAGCCACTGTCACAACCCCGTGTAACCCCTGAGCCCACATGTGCTCTCCGGTCACAGCGTCCATCCCTCTTAATAAGACAAAATGCTTACAAAGTACCTACTACATGCCAGACCCCACTCACGTGTTAACACACGAGAAAACAAGTGCAGAGATGCTTCAGCAACTTGCCAGAATTCCATGGCTGGGGAGTGGCAGAAGCAGGCTTCACACCCTGGAGGTCAGGCTCCAGCAGCTTCGCCCTTGGCCACTACACTGACCCCTCTGCTCCTTCTATCCTCCTCCCTCCCCCAACTCCCTGCAACCATCCTGGGCTTGAGGACCTAGGAAAGAGCAGGGTCCGAGGAGTCAAATACCAGCTCTGTCACCTCCCAGTTACACGGCCTTGGTGGCACTACCCTGTGACTGCTCTAAGCCTCATGTTCGCCATTCATAAAATGGAGACCACAATAGTAGCTGCTACAAAACCCAAAATTCAGTCAAGGTGCTGCCCATCCTGGTAGGGCCACACCCTGCTCAGATCTTCCTCAGCAGGGGTCAAAACCAAAGGTTTATGAGCCAGGGGACAACAGAACGTGTGGAAACCAGACAAACTGTAGGGTCCACACCCTTCGGAAGGACGGAGGCAGCCAGGAGTGGATGAAGGCCCAGAGTTCCCAGAGAACCGAATCTGGATTTATGTGTGACGCCTCCAGATTTTTCAATGTTGGCAATTAAATCAAATTGAAACAAAAAACCCCAAAACACCACTGTTTGGGCCAAAAGAAACAAGACAGTGGGCCTCTCTTCCTCCCTTTATTTTAACAAGCTCCCAATACTGGGTTTGGCTTTAGGCTTTGTGGCCCCAAGGACCCTGCTTGCCCAGCTGCAAACCCTGACCTGAGGAATCAAGTCTAAATTCCTGGGGCTTCCTCTCACTCTCTCTAGGAGCCTTTGTAGGATCATTCTCCCATCTCTTCCTCAGACTGGGGTCCTTCAAGGACCACCTCCTCCAGGAAGTCTTTCCTGATTTGTCCTCAAATAGGAGTTCTCCTTCCCTGACCACCAGCAACACTTTTTACTTAATTAAATCACCCCACCTAAACTGTAATTTCAGTGGACCTTAATAAGCCCAAGCGCTGGGATATCCTCACCTCAGTGCTTGTCCCAGAGCCAGGCTTGCAGCCAGTGTTTTCTAAAAGGGGAGGCAGATGGACAGACAGCTGGAGACTAAGTGTATTCTAGCCCCAGCCCTGAGCCATCTGTCCAGATGTCAGGGCAGCAGCCTTGTGGGTCAGGGTTTCTCAACTCCAGCTGTGCATCAGAATCACCTGGTGGAGGTTGCAAAACCCATGACCCAGAGATTCTCATCCAGCAGGTACAGGTTGGGGGTTGGACATCTGTATGTTTAAAAAGCTACCTTATGAAAAAAAAAAAAAAAAGCTACCTTATGACTTTGAGAGTGACTATAATGGAGAATCATGGACTCAGGGGCAGGAGGAGAAACCTGCCATCCTTAAGAGGCTATGGTCCCCCTTGGGGCCAATTTGTGACCCTAATGGCTCCAAGGGGTCTCTCAGGGTTTAGACTGTGGCCTTCTGGAAGGGTCAATGCCCACTCAGTGCCACCTAGCCAGGAAGGGGAGGTGGAACCCTCCTTCTTCCAGGTAAAGAGCTGGAACTTGGCATGGGCCAGGCCAAGAGACTCACCAGACCCTCAGGCCCCTATCCCCACAGGTTCCCCACATCCAGGCAACCTCTGCATTCTCTCATCCTGAGGAACAACAGAGTGGGGGGCAGGGCATTCAGGGGCACCTGCAGCGCCATCAGGGCTGAGCCCGCCCCTCCACCACCCCCTCAGCTATGGGAAAGGGGACTCCTCATCCCCATGACAGCCAGGCCCTGCAGCTGCACCCACCTCCCCTGACTGGGCCAGCCCTGTGATGCCAAGGCCAGAGGTTGGTGGGGGGGGGTGGAGGAGGGGGGCTGGTGCATGACTAAGGCTGGAAATGGAGGTGAGTCACTGAAGGCCTCTTTTGTCCAGAGCCTGCTGCAAACAGGACATGGAGAAAGGCAGCCTGAGCTCCCGACCAGCACCCCACCGGGACAGGTTCCCACGCTGAGGAGGCCCCTACTCCTGACTCTCACCCCCAGCTCCCCAGGAGCCTGCTGGGGGAAGGGGTGACATTCCATTCTGCCCACCCAACCAGCACAGGCCCCCCGGATCACACTGCCCCTTGGACCACACTGTCCTCCAACCACACTGCCAGAGGAAAAGCCACACAGAACGAGGGTGAAGTGCCCGGCTGGGCCAGGTGCCGAGTCCCTGGGTGGGTGCCTCTATTTCTCCACTGCTTGAGCTTCTGAACCCTAGGGTAGTGAGGAGGCTGAGCTGTCAGATGGGAGGGGCAGGACCAAGGGAGGTAAGGGCGTGAGGTCAGGAAGCAGGCCCAGGCCCTGGGCAGTGATACTGAGAGGGGCCTGGCCCTCTGCCTAGCCACCCAGTAAACATTTATCGGTCCCACCAGATCCAAACCCACAGATGTTTCCTCGACCTCATTCCTACCTGCTTGGAGCAGGAGTGCAAGCTGCCTGCCTCCCGTGGTTTCCGTGGATTCTCTATCTATCCATCTCTGCCTTGAACCTGGAGCTGGGCTGGGCCAGCACCATGGCCACCTCAACCAAGCAGGTGGGGGAACAATCACGAAATAACAGTAGTAAAAATGAGGACAAACAGTACCAAAAGGTGGAAACAACCCAAGCGTCCATCAACAAATGAATGAATAAGCAAAATGTGGTCTATGCATACAGTGGCTTATTATTCAGCCATAAAGAGGAGTGAAATCTGATCTCTGTTACAACACGGATGAACCGTGAAAACATTATGCGGGCTTCCCTGGTGGCGCAGTGGTTGCGAGTCCGCCTGCCGATGAGGGGAACGCGGGTTCGTGCCCCGGTCCGGGAGGATCCCACATGCCGCGGAGCGGCTGGGCCCGTGAGCCATGGCCGCTGAGCCTGCGTGTCCAGAGCCTGTGCTCCGCAACGGGAGAGGCCACAACAGTGAGAGGCCCGCGTACCGCAAAAAAAAAAAAAAAAAAAAAAAAAAAAAGATGAAAACATTATGCTAAGGGAAATAAGCCAGACCCAGAAGGACAAATGATGTACGATTCCATTTACATGAGATACTAGAACAGTCAAATTCACAGAAACAGATTTTATATCACTTATACCTCAATTTAAAAAAACTCAGAGACAGAAAGTAAATTAGAGGTTACCGGGGGCTGGGGAAAGGGAAGAATGGGAAAGGGAAGAAACCAAAGGACTTATGTCCTAATGGTTACAGAGTTTCTGTTTAGGGTGATGGAAAAGTTTTAGAAATAGCACAATATTGTGAATGTAATTAATGCCACTGAATTACCCACTTCAGAATGGTGTACATGGCCAATTTTATGTTATATATATTTTACCACAATTTTTAAAAATTAAGGGACTTTGCTGGCGGTGCAGTGGTTAAGACTCCGTGCTTTCAATGCAGGGGGCACAGGTTCGATCCCTGGTGGAGGAACTAAGATCCTGCATGCCACACAGCACAGCCAAAGAATAAGAATAATGATAATGTAATATGCCAGAAACCGCTGTACACTTCACATGGCCGAATGGTATGGGATGTGAATTAATTCTCAATAAAGCTGTTGAAGAGGCACAGAGCAGCTAACGAACTTGTCCAGGGTCACGGGGCAGCTGGGGTGCGTTCAGAGTTGGGGGGCCTCACCCAAAGGGCTCTGTGTGACTGAAGGAGCACACAGGGCTCTCTGTCTGGGGCCCGCCCACAGGAGGCGCACAGTAAATGATAACAAAGAAGGAAACCAAGGCAGTGCCGGGGGTGGGGGGTGGGCAAGGACCCGGGTATTCTGCTCCATCCCTGCTCCTCAGTCCCATGGCTTCCAGCTGGGCCCCTCTCCCGCCCAGTGTCATCAGCTGGGGCCCAGACACCTTCCCTGAGCCGCTTATCTCAGCCCCCAGAGAGGGGCCAGGAGGTGGTAAGGAACGGGCAGCCCCACAGTTTCCCAGTAACCACCTGCAGCCTGGGCGGGTTGGGCTGTGTGTGGTCTGGGGCCAAGGCTGCGGGCAGGAATCTGCCTCACTGGCAGAGCTGCAAGGGGCTGTGGGGAGGCCAAGTTTATCCCTGGCCCTTCAATCCCACCTTTCTCACAGGTGGGCCACTGATGATCAGAGAGGACTCGCTGTGTATGCTAAAAACAGTGTGGGTGGCCCAAGGCAGGGGTGGATGCAGGGGCCATGTAGGGGGTGGGCAGAGGCCAGAGTGGGCTGGTGGCAGGGGTGGGAGTGCTGTGTGGTCACGGGGCATGTATGCAGAGAGCAGGGTGTGTAAGGAGTGAAGGTGTGTGTAGGGTGGTGTGTGCACATCAGGTGTGTGTGTGTGTGTGTGTGTGTGTGTGTGTATGGGGTTGGTGGGTGGGAGGTGGTCAGCTTGGCATGGAAACTAAGGTGTGTGTGTGTGTGTGTGTGCGCCAGTGCACACTCAGGAAGGGCCCACGGGACTCCAGTAGGAATGTGAGACATGCAGGGAACAGCGACAGCCGACAGCTTCATGCCAACGGGGGGAGGGGAGGAAGAGCAGTTTTTCCCGGTGACTGAGGCCATGAGGCTCTGGGAGGGGACAGGCAACGGCAAGGGGTCTCAAACTCCTTCCCACCGGAATCCTCAAGCCAGCAGGTAGCCTCAGCACCTCGGGTACCAAACGCGTCCCCCTCGCCCTGACTGGCTGCCACACCCAAGGCTAGAGCCTAGCGGAGCTCAGTGCCAGAATCCATAACATTCCTTGAAGCATCAACAAAGTCAAGAAAGGCAGGCGGTGCTTCCCCTGCTCTGGGTGGACGTAGTGCGATAAAGGTGGCAACACTCTTCTCCGCAGGGCCAGACCAGGCGTGAAGCCTGTTTGGGGGCTGAGATCGTGGAGCGGGGCTCCTCAGAGCTGAGGAAGGAGGAGAGGTGAGGGGGGCCAGGATGCAGGGCAGAGCCAGCCCCCCAGCCCTGCCTGGCACACGCCAGCGCGACCAGGAGGGCTGCCCACCCCTCCCACCACCCAGGCCAGGCACCTCCCCAGACCGGGGGCTGCTCTGAAGACCGCCCCACCTGCCAACCTCGCCCCTGGCAGCCCCACTCACCCTGCAGGAGATGCCCTGGGCAGGCCATCGGGAGAGCCCGCTTTCCCTGCGGCACTTGGCGGTGTGTGCCGACGGGGGAGGGAAGGCAACAGATTCTGCCCACTTAGTGCTCTGCTCACAGGAGGATTAGCGGCAGGGTGGAGCATCGGGGCACAGGGACAGTTCCAGGCTCTGGGGAGATAGGGCTGCCAGACAAAATTCAGGATGCCCAGTTAAATGTGAATTTCAGATGAACAAAAAATAATAATATTTTAGTATCAAATATTTACATAATTTGGGACATACTGATATATATTTTTTGGCAGCCCTATGAGGACACCCCTGGCAGCTGGCAGAACCACTATGGGAGAGGGGTGTAGCAGGCCCCTCCCCACCAGGCTTAAATCACTCATTCATTCATTGTGTTAGGAGCTTGGACACTGGGCCAGACTTCCTGGGTTCAAATCCTCTCTTAGCTACTTCCCAGCTTGGAATCCGGGGCAAGTTACTGAACCTCTCTGAACTTCAGTTTCCTCACTTGTAAAATGAGGCTAATGGTCCCACCTACCTCATAAGGTTGTGACATTAAACGAGCTAATACAAGAAAAGCGCTCGCACAGTGTTATAAAGGTGGTAATTAGTATTCATTAATTCCAGCAATAATGAGCTCTCATTGAGGGCTTCCCTGGTGGCGCAGTGGTTAAGAATCTGCCTGCCAATGCAGGGGACATGGGTTTGAGCCCTGGTCTGGGAAGATCCCACATGCCGCGGAGCAACTAGGCCCGTGAGCCACAACTACTGAGCCTGCGCGTCTGGAGCCTGGGCTCCCAACAAGAGAGGCCGCGATAGTGAGAGGCCCGCGCACCGCGATGAAGAGTGGCCCCCGCTCGCCGCAACTGGAGAAAGCCCTCGCACAGAAATGAAGACCCAACACAGCCAAAAATAAATAAATAAATAAATTAATTAAAAAGAAAAAAAAGAAAAGAAACGCTGTTTCTTATTAAAAAGAGCCCTCATTGAAAACGATGGCTTTGGTGGCAGACAGACGCTGCCTCTTAACCGCATGGCCTTGGGCCGGTGACTTCACCCCCTCCACCTCAAGTTTCTCACCTGTGAGGACAGTGACAGCACCTTCCCCTGGGGTGGCCGAGGATTAAGTAGGATCTGGGCTACTGCGAGCTCAGCCCTGCCCTGGTGCTCACTGGGCTCCTCTTCTAGCTCTTCAACTGTTCCCTGGCTTCCCTGGCGCAGGCCAGGCCAGCAGCCCAGCCTGGGGGTGGGGGATGGGAGCAGAGTGGACCCTAGGCTCCACAAATGACTCCCACTCAATGCGGGGGCTGCTGTCCGTCCCCCCTCATCTCGGTTTCCCCCAGTATGGCCCCCCTTTCTTTTCCTTGGGCCCCTCTTCACCTTTGACTCTGAGCCACTCCCTGCTCTAGTCTCTTGACCTGATCGGAAAGAAAATCTGTCCTCTGTTAGACTAAGGGGTGTGGCGAAGGCGGTGACAGGACACAGCCCTCAGGGTCATTTCAGGAGAGGCAGCAGCTGCAGGGGTCATCGTGGAAGCTACCTGGCTGGTAGACCTAGGACTGGGCCTTTATGGCCAGGGCAGTTGGACCCCAGGACAGCTGGGTTTCACCTCCACCTCCACCTGGACTCAGTGAGGCCTGGGGAAGGGACATTCCCCACAGACTTGACATTCCTCTCTCTGAAGGCAGTCACTCAACAGGACGGTGCCGCAGTCAGGGGCGAGGGAGGGTGGCGCAGATGGCATTCTGACACCCACATAGTTCCCAAGAGTGTCACTGTCACGGGGTGCCCGGAGCTCCCGTTCAACGTTACTCAGCCAAAGGGGAATGAGTCTTGGGCTCAGCTGTAATTATTTGTCTACAAGTGGCTCCTGGCACTAGACTGTTCATTCCCCCAGGGCAAGGTGCTGTGTCCTCCATCTCTGTAGCCCCAGCCCTGACACTGCACTCTGGCATGCGGACGGGGCTTAGCAAAAAAGTATGGAAAGAGGAGGCAGGCAGGTGTGCGGGAGCATCACCTCAGCCCTCCCACGGTACCCATAACCCCCGCAGGCAGCTGACGCCTGGGGCTGCTTCTCTGGCCCAACACCAGCCCTTGACTATCTCAGCAGCACCTCAACTCCCCATGGCCATCGACCTCTCCCCAAACCACCACTGCCCCTTAGACCACAGGATGATGACGCTGCCACCCATTAGAGACACCTTCCAGATCCCGCCAACTGCAAAGTCCAGCCCGGTGCATCTCCCTGTAGTTCTGGAATCCATCTCGGCTGTACCGGCCCACTTCTGAGCTCCCCGTCCCCCCCGCACACACACAGCTTGCCCAGCTGACTCCTCAACCTCCCTCCTGTGGGTCTCCTTGTTTCACCCCTGCCTTCGTCCAACCCACCCCTACTCTACACAATTCCTGCCTCTCTCCTCCGGCCTGAGACCTTTCCCGGGCTCCTGTCACCCTCCAGAGAAAGTCCATAACCTTATAAGCAGGGGCCTTGAGGACCCAGCCTCCACCTGCCTCTCCCCTTCTGCCTCACTCTAGTCTCCCTCCAGCTCCAGGGTGCAGCCAGGGCTCGCCAGCATCTTGGTCCTTCCTTCACAGCCTTATTTCTTTGCTTCATTGTCTGACATCCTTGCTGGTACTTCAGCTCTCTGAGGGCCAGGACTGTGTCTGCCTTGTTCGTTGCTGAATCCCCAGGGCAGAGCATAATATAGGCACTCAATAAATGTTTGTGGAATGCATGTGTGATTGATGAAAGGTAGGGCAGAGACCTTGTCTTCTGTCTCCATAAGGAGAGTGCCAGGCACGGCGCTCAGAACACAGCACTCAATAAATTCAGGTCAAATGAATGAGAGGAGGCAGAAGTAAGAACAGGGGGGTGGGGCTTCCCTGGTGGCGCGGTGGTTGAGCATCCGCCTGCTGATGCTGGGGACACGGGTTCGAGCCCTGGTCTGGGAAAATCCCACATGCCGTGGATCCGTGCACTACAACTACTGAGCCTGCGCTCTAGAGCCCACGAGCCACAACTACTGAAGCCTCTGCGCCTAAAGCCCATGCTCTGCAACAAGAGGAGCCACTGCAATGAGAAGCCCGTGCACCTCAACAAAGAGAAGCTCCCCTCGCCGCAGCTAGAGGAAGCCTGTGCACAGCAACGAAGACCCAATGCAGCCAAAAATAAATAAATAAAATAAATTTTAAAATTTAAAAATCTTAAAAAAAAGAACAAGGGGTGGAGGACAGTGGTAAAGAGAAGGTAAGACCGGCTATCGGGACCTCTGATTTTTGCTCCAAGATTCACACAGGTCTTCGGGCAGCCCTGCCCTCTGTTCCCTCAGCCCCACTTCATTAACTATTCTACCGACCACAGTTCTACTACACCACTTCACTTTTACAGTATTTTACATTGTATAAAATGTAAAACTCTCACACATAAACCCCCTCGTTCAAGCCCTCAACCCCCCAGTCAGTCCCACTTTGCTCTGGTTCTGAGATGGGGCCAGGGGCAGTGTGGGGTACATACCAACTTTTGCCCTCTATTAGCTGTGTGGTCATAGACAAATTCCTGACTTTCTCTGAGTCAGTTTCCTCATCTGTGAAATGGGGATTTTACCACCTGCCTCTCAGGAAGGTGAAGAAGATTGAAGGGCACCACATCTGTAACCACCCAGTGCTGGCCAGTGTCTGGGAGATGCTTGATAAACCATAGTTACTTTCCTTTCCCCCACTGACTTCCCTCAAATCTGAGAAGGCAACTCTGGCTTTCTGACCCGAAGGTAGGGCGCCTCCTGGTGGAAAACAAAAGCCATCCTGGGAGCCTCGCTCGGACCCCAGGACCTCGGGTGACCCCAGGTGCGACCTCCCCTCCCCCGCTGGAACGGTGCTGGTCTTCCATCCCTCGCCGGACTCCCCACAGCCCCATTGGGAAGCCCACCAACGGCTCGCCGGAACACCCCAACCCTCCCAGGCTGCGCCCCCGGGGCCCGTCCGCACCCACCCCGAGCCGCCCAAGCCGCTCACTGACCCATCTTCTTCAGCGCCCGCAGCCCGGGCCTCTTGTTGCCGCCGTCCTGGGGTGCGGGCGGGGACGGGAGCGCGACGGGCGCTGCGACCTGGGCCGGCACCGGGGGCTCCTCGCGCCGCCGATGGCGGCTCCTCCAGCGGCCGCACAGCATGGTCGCGGGGCCGGGGCCGGGGCCGGGCCCGGGGAGACGTGCGCGGTGTCGAGCGAAGAAACTTACCGGCGCCGTGAGGGAGTCGGGAGGAGGAGGTGTCGGGAGGAGGAGGTGTCGGGAGGAGGGAAAGAGGGAGGGACGAGGGTTAGGGAAGGAGGGACCCGGAGGGAGAGGGCGGGGCCAAGGATGGCGTGGGGAGGTGCGAGGGGGCGGCGAAGGGGGCGGTGACCCCAGGCGGGGAACCGTGCCCTAGAGGAAGTGTGGGGAGGGGGCCTGACCCGCGACCCCGAGTCTCCGCGTTAGGCCCCTGCTCCTGAGTCCGCCTCCCCATTCTCCGAGCGGTCCTGGGATCCCGGCCCTATCGGAGTCCTGAGCCCCCATGGTGCTGGGGGGAGGCATCGGAGGGAGCGACGGCCGCCCTCTGGCACAGACACCCTCTCCTTTCCCCGGACCCTGACTCAGTGTGGACTCAGGACCCCTCTCCACCCTCCTCCTCCCCGTCCCGCCTGAGGGCTCAGAAGGAAGCCAGACAGGGGATAGGGTCCGCGAGCCGGATCGTCCTGGGCCTAGGGTCCGCAGGCCCGGAAAGCCCCGGGAGCTTAGCCGGGCGGCAGGGCAGCCCGAACCGGAGGAGTGGGGGGTGGGGGGGAGTGGGAACTGACTGGAGGTGGGGAGGGAGGAAGGCTCTGGCCATGACGTCATAGGATTAACCCTCTCCTCGCCCGGCTAGTTGCCGTCCCCAAAGGGGTAGAAGACTCCAAGCTGACTGGTCTGGAGAGGATGGGGTGGCGCGAAGCCTGGAGACCCCGGCAGAATCTGTGGTTGGAGGCTTGGACAGGTTGGCACCCCCGCCGGGCCTTTGACCGTCCTCGGACGGCCACCGCACGCTGCGTAGATGTCCTTGGCATCAACTTGTGGATGAGCGTCGAGTGCGGGTTCCGGTGACCGTGTCATGCGTACACTTACTACATAAGAAACCACCTGCGTATTTGTGCGCGAGGGGTGGGATATGTGCGTCTTCTGCAGCAAGTGCCCTGGGTCGGGGGTGGAGGGCTGGGTGCACACCGCCACTCGGCGGCGGCCGGGAGTGTGTCATCCCAAAGATAAAGCTTAGTTTCTCAGGACCTAGATTTGCCACCTACTGCTCTACTCCATTTTCAGATATCCCGGACTCAGAGATTCCGTCCGTGCTGGCTGGCGTCTCCACACCTCTCTGGATATTCTTTCTAAATATTTAGTCTTCTCCTCTGTACTTTTGATCCTGCAATTCCTTCCTCCAGAAATGACCTTCCTCATTCTTCTCCTGGCTTACTCTTAAGGCTTCCAAAACTCAGCTCCAGTGTCCCTCCTTTAGAACCCCTGACCTCAGAACATGATTCCCCCTTTTATCCCCAGCGCCTGTTAAGTGTCTGGAGAGCTGAGTTGCGTGGCTCGAATCTGGGGGACCTGGGTTCAGCTGACTAGCGGGTTTCCACCAGAGGGGGCGCAAGAGACAGCGTCATTTCACGGTGTCCACCAGGGGTCGCTTCCGCCTGCCTCTGGCGATCCAGGGTTGAGGAACCAACCCGCGGATTTGCCCCGCCTGATTGGGAGAGGCACCGCTAAACTATTTGCATAATCTCGAAAGGGCCGCGTTGAGTGGTCGAGGTGTAGAAGAAATCTGAAACGGGCTCTCTCATTGGCTTAAATTTTCCCCCTTGCTTCGCGTCCCCATCCGGGCCAGACCCGGCCAGGAGGTCAATCGGAAGCTTCCGGCTAGTGGCGAGCGGGAACCCAGGTGTCCGGGCAGTGGGCGCTGAGGGTGAGTGTCGGGCGGCCGGGCAGCTGAGCCGGGGTATGGGGGGCCGGGGTGGGAGGATGTTTGCCCCGCCCTGTCTCCTCTCGGCTTGCGGGTTCTCCTGTCTAGGAGTTGGAGATGTGCATCTAGAGAGGCACTTGCCACCTGTCTCTCCACCCACACACCGAGGTCCTCTCCACCCATCCTGGCCCCACCCACGCTGCCTTGGGGTAGGAAAAGGTGTCTCCTCAGTCGCAGCTTCTGACCTCCCAGGGTGTCTCACTCAGGCCTCTAAAGAGCTTAGTTTGCTCCTGGAAAATGGACCAGTGACTTACAGAGGCGTGTGCCAGGGAGGAGTTGGGGCGGGGGGCAGGTGGGGCGGGCTGGAGCCTGCTCACACACAGGTTTGTTCTTGCAGAGTCGCTCAAAAGTAGGGCCCCAAGGCTCAGAGCAGCTGGGTATGGGTACCGAAAATGAAAATCCAGAGCCGGACTGCCAGAAACAGTTCCAGGCCGCAGTAAGCGTCATTCAGAACCTGCCTAAGAACGGTGAGGGCATGGGGACCCGCATTTGGGGGTCAAGACGACTGGGGTCCACCTCCCAGGAGGCTTTGATCCTGGCAGTTTTTACAGACAAGTCCCTGCCTGAGTTGTCCTGGGGGTCCCCTCTGCCACCTGCCCCTGTCCAGCTGCCCTGGTGGGACCCCTCGCCATCTCTGCCCTCCCCAAGGGTGGTTCTCCCCCCACCTCCATCCTCTTGGAGCTGGGAGTGATGCTTTCTCCCCCACTTCCCAACCCCTGCCCAGGCTCTTACCGCCCCTCCTATAAAGAGATGCTGCGATTCTACAGCTACTACAAGCAGGCTACCATGGGGCCCTGCCTGGTCCCCCAGCCTGGGTTCTGGGACCCTATTGGACGTTATAAATGGTGAGCTCCCCATCGGCTGGGCAAACAAGCCTCAGCTGTCAACCAGCATTTCACAGCCTTCTGTCCCCCAGGGATGCCTGGAACAGCCTGGGCAAGATGAGCAGGGAGCAGGCCATGTCCGCCTACGTCACTGAGATGAAGCTGGTGGCCCAGAGGGTAGGGAGAGGCTGCAGACTCCTCTCTGTGACCAAGCTCTCAGCCAGGTGGCCTGCCCCCCACCCTTCCAGTCTGACCCCCATTATGTGTCCTGCACGTTGATACCCCTATGGGAATTAACCACCTTCATGCTGTTCCCCCACCCCTGCCTGTCTCTGGTTCCTGACTGGGCACAAGGGGGAGAGGTATGACAGGGCAGAAGCAGGGTGGAGGCGGCCCAGCTCAAGGGGGCAGTGGTGGGAGGGGCCAGCCCTTCCCCATTAGACCCCCTCCTGCACAGGTGATCGACACGGTGCCCCTGGGCGAGGTGGCAGAGGACATGTTTGGTTACTTCGAGCCCCTGTACCAGGTGATCCCTGACATGCCGAGGCCCCCGGAGACCTTCCTGAAAAGGGTCACAGGTCAGGCCCCCAGGCTGGGAGCTCCACTAGTGCTGACTGAACTGTCTCGGGGGGCTGCTCAGTTGGAGGGGAGCCTGGGGGCAGAGGGCTCTAGGTGATGTCCCTGTAAGGACCGCAACCAGTGCCCCTGATGGGGTGGGTCTCAGGCAGAGTCCATGGCTAATTGGGGAGCAGGGGCCTGATGTCTTCCCAGCCCCACCTCTGGGTGTTGTGTCTCCGCAGGTTGGAAAGAGCAGGTGCTGAATGGAGATGCTGAGCCTGCCCCAGAGCCTCCCTGCCTTCCCAGGGAACCCGCACCCCCAAGCCCAGGTCAGTGCCTGGGCAGGAGGGGCAGAGGGCAAAACCCAGGCCGGAGGTGGGGGGGACCTCCAGGCAGGGTGGAGGGTAGCAAGTTAGGTGCCACGCTGTGCCTATCACGCCTCGTGCCCAGACACTGAGACCGCCTGCGTTCCCAGAGGCCAGGGGCAGGTTCTGGGATTCCTGATCCAGAGCCCCACTCAGGGAGCCATCTGTGCCTCTTGTGGCAGTATCTCTAGTGTGCCCTGGACAGATGCCTCTGCCTAGATGCACCCCCCTCCTCTCCCTCCGTGGCCTCCCTCTTGTCACTAACCCTACTCATCCCCTTCTCAGAGTCCCAGCCACCCAGGGACCAGGACTCTGAGGTTTTCTGTGATTCCATGGAGCAGCTGGAGCCTGAGCTGGTGAGACCCACTCCCATTGCCTCCCCTTCCCTACCCCACTGGGCCTTAGCTGCTCCCACCACCCCCCTTGGACTTTGTGACTCTTCTCAGCAGGTTGGGGCAGAGCAGAGGGGCGCCCTGGGAGGAGAGCTCAACACCAGAAACAGCACCGAGTCTCCTGCAAAGGAAGGTGAGCCCCTGACTGACCCTTCACCCCCTTTGGCCGTTCCCATGGTTCTGGTGCCCTGGGCCTTCCCCTGGCTGCCCTCGTGGGAAGAGGTGAAATCCAACGCTAGGCACTGGAGAGAGTGCCTAGCCTCTGCCCAGGAAGGGTTAAAGCCAGACACTGGCCTGGATGGGCAAACTCACTGCCTGGCCTCCTCTCCGAGGGCCGCCAGGAGTCTGTACTCTTGGCTGGCACTGAGGAAGGGCAGCTGGGGTAGAATTCCTAGACCAGCTCTCTCACCTATACCTACGTGGTCTTGAGAGTCATCCTCTCTCTCTGGGTCTCCCATTTGGGACTCTCTTAGGACAATGAGTTCTGCCCTGTCCCTTTCTAGAACTTCCAGTGTGCCACGTCCCATAAGGGCACTTTCATAAATATTATCTCCTTTATTCCTCAGAGCGAGCAGCCCTGTGAGGGAGATGACATAATTTTCAGTTGACCAACGAGGCTTAGAGAAGTTACTGACTTGCCCAAAGTCACACAGCTAAGCGGTAGTCCTGCTGGGATTCAAACCCCTGGCAGCCCATTACTCAGCCACATGGATGGGCTTCACAAGACTCACACTTGGTACAAGGGATCGCACTCTACTCTTATTCTCCCTGGACCTGCCCCAGCCTGCCACCACCCTGCCCCTAGCTGAGCTGCCTCCTGAGTCCCCTTCCCTGTGTGTCTGTGCACTGCAGGGAGATTGGAAAGCACCCTGCTGGGGCCCCAGGAATTGGACACATGGCTGGTGGGGACGGTTCGGGCGCTGCAGGAGAGCATGCGGGACGTCCAGGGGAGACTGCAGAGCCTGGAGAGCATGGCTGTCCCCCGCAAGCAGGTGAGCCCTGTCCGAAGGCCCAGGGCAAGGCTGGGGCAGCACTTTGAGGGTCTCTTTTCTGGACTCCTCATCCAGCCACTTCTGTCTTTGTCCCCACGTCTCTGCTCACACCTCTGCCTTCTCCAGAGAATGTTGTGGCTCGTGGCGCAGGCAAGGAAGTCAGGGGGTCTGTAGTAATGCTTCCAGCCTGGAACTGGGAGAGGCCCTCCTTTCCTGCTCTTATCTCCCTCTGCCTGAAGAGTAACTGAGGACAGATGGAATTCCAGCAGTTGGAGGGGCCAGAATGTGTCTGCTCTTTGCATTGGGGCTGGGGGGGGTGTGTCCCTATTGCCCCTCAGTCAGGACTTCTGTTCCCAGATTTATTGTCTCACCCTACCCAGATTCAGCCCTTGCATCCCTCACTCCCTTCTCTCAACTTCTAGGTCTGCTTACCCTTTACACCTCTGCTTCTGCAAAATAAATCACAGCGGCTATTTCTGGAACCCCAGCTGTGTGCCAAACACATTACCTGCATTATCTCATTTTATTCTCAAAACAAACCAGTGAAATAGGTTTTCTTTTCATTTCCCTTTTACTGATGAGGAAACTACAGCTCTGAGATGTTGAGTAACTTACCTGAGGGTACACAGCCTGAGAGCTGCTTTGAGGATTAGATGACATAATGCATGTAGATGCTTCCGCAGTGCCCGAGGGGGGGACTTCTCATATGGGGTTCATTGTTAGTATTAGTATTAACGTTAAGTAATGGAGCTGGGAGTGGCCCTAGGTCTGTCTCCCACCAAAGCTGGCATCCACCACTCACTATGAGTGAGTCTGTTCTTGCGAAGCCTGGAGTGGTGGGGGCAGGGGACGGCTGAGTTCCTGGATGCGGGGGAATCACTCACGTGACTCTTCACCCCCTTGGCACAGTGGGTGTCAGCCAGGTTGGCAGGAATTCCCTCAGATCCACAGCGGCTAACCTTTCAACACTCACCCCCCAGGGTTTCATTTATTGTTTACCTTTTACTAATTTTATATGCTGAAGATTTTAAAGGTTTCCACCCTGAGATACTTGGATTTGCATCTCTAAAAATAGGACATTCTACTACCTAGCGAAAACAAAATTTTAACACACACAGTAATTCCTTCATATCATCAAATACACAATCCACATTCAAATCCCCTTTTCCACCTTCCCTGTCTGTCCAGGCCAGGAGCCTCTGTTCTTAAGACTCTGTTAGTCTAGACTAGTCCCTCTTCCCTGCTACTGACTTGCGGATGAGACTGGATAGTGGTCCTGTAGAATGTTCCACTCTTGTGGTCTGTCTGATGACAGCCTCCTGGCTAGTTTACATGACCAGATTACATCAGAAGTGATGTTCTTTCTTTATATCAAGGGACACATATTTGGATGTCCTACCGTGAATGATTTTAGCGTGGACCACTAGCAGGGATGAAGGGGTGACAGTCTGTTCCCACCACTTGCAGCCAGGGAATGTCCAGTTCCCCATCAAGCCCATTTGACATACAGCTTTTGACAATTGATAGATACTCCTTGCCTGGATCAATAATTTATTTACTGGTTACAAAAAACAATGTTGACTTTTAAATTCTATTATTCCTTTAACATTTATTAGCTGTCATTTTTCTGTAGAGTTTCCCTGATCATCTAGGATTTCCCTGAAATACAGTGCCTTATGGAAGGCAGAATAAGTGCTTAATTCTTTCTCTTTAATTATCTATTTTTAGAGTAAGGAGTTGATTTAACAGCCACCTCAGTGGTGATAAATTTCCCCTTTCTCTTTGAGTATCATCATGAACTCATGGATTTTAAAGACTCAGTATTTCAGTCAACTGCAATCATCATTCTTTTTGATGCCCAGGCTGTCACAACTTTGGTGGGAACCTTTCAAGCTGGGTCCTATGTTCTGGTAATTTGACCTCATTAATCTTTAAAAGCTTCCTTGCTTCCTGGTACAAGACGTCTCACATTCAATTCTACCTTCCCTGCTCCAGACCTAAAATCTGCCACTTCTCCATTCAGCAGAGAATGGTATTTAGAAACTAAAATCTGAGCACCCAGGGTCCTCATTTGGAATATGTGGCATGTCCTTTACAATATGGGGTCTTCGGGCCACACCAACAGGGTCACTGCTTTGTGGCCCAGAGGAGACGCCTCGAAGCCAGTCTCTCCACTCAGCAGCCTCTCCAGCCTTCAGCCTTCTCGGCACCTTGGAGGAGGATATGGGAGGGAGTTAGGGCTCAACGTGTCAGGGACAAACTGGGAGCCCCAGTCCTCAGACTGGGGAGAGGGAGGCAGAAGCTCCCACCTGAGCTCTGCAAGCAGGTTGCGAAGGAGGGCCCAGCCTGTGCTGAGGCCCGGGCTGGCTCCTGACTCTCTCCCCTTGGCGGCAGAGGCCAAGGCCCGGCACTGGGCTCTCTGTTCCCACGCTGCTCTTCTTCCTCCTGTGGCCCTTCATCGTCCAGTGGCTCTTCCGACAGTTTCGGACCCAGAAGAGGTGACTCTCAATGGAGGAGTCTCTGCAGCCAACGGAGGAGACTTTGAGCCTTCCTAGAGTTTAGGAGAACGGCGTTAAACCCCGCTCCCACCCCCTTCCTGCCCCAATTAGTGTTTGCCTTGGCACCTCTCCCCTAATGGGGAGCCGGATAGGACTCCACTCTTCCTGCAGCTCCACAGAACTCCCCTCCTCTCACCCCCAACCACCTCAGGCTCCCTGGGGAGGCTGCACGTGTGGTGCACGTCCCCAGTTCAGGGTTGGCGGCTGATTCTGGGGCGGAGCTGCCGGGTCTCAGCCTCTGCCCTCCCCAGCCTCTGGGTCACCTGACTCCTTTCCCACCCTAGCCTCTCCCCGAGGAGGCTCAGCTCGTGGGCAAGTTGGGACTTGGGCCGGGGCCTGGAAGAATGATTGGCTGGGAGGCCTGACCGAGCTGGGGAAAGGCGGAGAGAGCTAACCCCGGGGGAGGGGAGTCTGCTCCGTTTTCCTGGCCGCCCTACCCCCACATATACTCAGGACGTCTTCACTAAACATTAACTTACAAAAGAGTGTTTCACTAAATAAAATAAAACCTTCATCTTCTGCCGTCTGGGCTGCCACGGATTGAGGCGGGAAGCGGGTGCGGGGCGCGCGAGCCTCAAGTCCCTTCCCTGCCCCCTCCCCCGCTGCCCGTGGACGGCCCCGAGAGGCCAGCGGGCGGCGTCCCAGAAGCATTTCCCAGCTACCCGGGCTAGTGGAGGCACCAGCCCAGGGTCTGGAACGGAGGCGGAGGAGATGCGCCGTGGTGGGGGCGGGGCCAAGGCCGCGGCCCCGCCCCCCGCCCCGTCGTGGCCGGCGGGAGGGAACCGGCGAGCTAGGGGTGGCGGGAGGAGAGGAGTGCGGCGGGGCCCGGGCACAGGCTCCGTCCACGCCCGAAGGGGAGGGCGGCTACTCCCTGCTCCGCGCGCCAGGCGTAGGGTCGGGGCCGACATCCCGGCCCCAGAGGTGCTCACTGCCCCCTTCCCCCTCCTCAGCTGCTCGCTCCCCGTTCCCCCTCCCGGTGACCTCTGCGCTCGGGCTTTCCCAGGGAACTTTCTGGAAGGCCAAGGCCGGCGGGAGCTTCGTTCCCGCCCCTCCCAGAGGAGTGGGGGCGGGGCCCTGCGCGGGAGCCCCGGTCGGGGTGGGCCCAGTGCCGGAGCGTGCAGAGACCTCCGGGGGTCGCTGGCTGCTGCAGACTGCTGGGGCTCCGAGATTTTGAGTTAACCCGTGTGTTAAGGATGGACAACTGGAGGGCAGTGGAAGAGGGACCAAATTGATGCTGGGGATGCAGGAGTCGGGCGGAAGCCAGCTCCACCAGTTGCACATACTAGCTGTGTGACCTGGGCAAGATTCTTAACTGCTCTGAGCCTGGGTTGCTTTGTGAGATAACGATGAAGATCTCTTCATCATAAGGCACTCCAGGGGTTTAAGTGACCAGGACAGGGGCTTCCCTGGTGGCACAGTGGTTAAGAATCCGCCTGCCAATGCAGGGGACAGAGGTTCGAGCCCTGGCGCGCCACAACTACTGAAGCCCGCGCGCCTAGAGCCCATGCTCTGCAATAACAGAAGACACTGCAATAAGCCCGCGCACCGCAACGAAGAGTAGCCCCTGCTTGCCACAACCAGAGAAAGCCCGCGCACATCCAACAAAGATCCAACGCAGCCAAACATAAAAATAAAAAAATTTAAAAAATTAAAAATAAATGACCAGGACCTGTAAATGCCTAGCAAAGAGTTAAACCTTAGCTAATATCAAGGTGCGTGGCCTCCTTTCATAGAATTCTAGAGTTACGAACTATCAGTCTGGCCACCCCTCCCCTAATAGGGCAAATGAGTCCATATAGCTGAGCCCTGTCCAGTAGACTGAGGTTGGGCTCAGTTTACCTTCCAAATCCCCTGATTGAGGGTACCCAGGAGTCCTCAGGCGTCTGAAAATGGAACAATTTGGAAGTCTCTGACTCTCGGTCGAGTTCTCTGCAAAGACTCTTTTCCTCGGGGAGCTCCCAGTGTGAGGGGCAGCTCTTGCTCCCGGGAAGCCTCCTGTGTGACTGATGAAGCAGCACAGAGGAGGGGCAGGCTTTTCAGATAGACCTGAGTTCTTGGAAGCCCAGGGAAAACAGGCTATAGGATGTTCAACCTCAAAACACCTGGATGTGCCTCAGGGTCACTCTTGCTTGCGTCTCCCTCTGGGCATACCCATCACCACTTCCCCACAGAACCACTCCTGAGTCCCCAGACAAGACCTGTCTTGGGATGAGATGCTTGCTCTTCATAGAATGCCCTACTTCATGCTACTCTGCCTGAAAATGCTTCGTCTTTCAGAGACAGCCAAGAAGTCACCTCCTGCATGAAACCTGTCCACAATTCTCAACTCCTAAGCAACTTGGCTCACAAGCTCCTACCAGGAGTTTCTTCACTTGCTTACTGTGGTTTGATGGCCTCGCTACACATTACCTGAGTAGCAAGGATGACATTTTATTCACCATTGTGCCCTTCTATCCGATGTTTGCTAAGTGAAGAAGGGCCTGGGGTACTTCCCTGGTGGTCCAGTGGTTAAGACTCCCCGCTTCCACTGCAGGGGGCCAGGTTCGTTCTCTGGTTGGGGAACTGAGATCCCTTATGCTGTGTGGTGCAGCCAGAAAAAAAAAAAAAAAAAAAGGTTGGGGGAGAGGGTAAAAAAGGAGAGAGAGAAAAAAGAAATAAGGACCTGAATTAGGCTGAAGTTGTTGGAGATGAAAAGGAGCCAAATCTAGCGTTCTTACGAAAAAAAAGGAATTCTGTGTTTGTGACAGAAAGAAAAATGGCACGGGGTCACACACAAAGACCTTCGCTTTAGCTGAAATTGCCACTCAATTGTCATGTGACCTTGGACAAGTCAATTTCTGAGATTTCTTATCTCTAAAATGGAGACAATAATCCCTACCTTGCCTAACTCACTGGGCTGTTGTGGTGGGGCAAATGGTTCTGTGTGTAAAAGAACGTTGTGCGGTGGAAAGCCGTTGCAATGTAATACACGGCAGCTGAGGAAGAAATAGTAAGAACAGTAAGAATAGAACGGGTCACTGTGCGTATGGCAAGTGGGAGAAACTGAGATTTCGGGGTGATTTTAGGCCTAAGTGAATTGGGCGGAGGGTTTGGGCTACTCCCGGCCCCTGTCCTTTGGGCGGGAGCTTGGAATCTGGAGAATTTTCACAAGGAGACTATGTCGCCGCCCCCCTCCACTCCGCCATGAATCTGTCCCACAGTTCTGGGCCAGAATCCCCCTGCCTCCATTTCTGGGCAAGGCTTCCTCCTTGCGGAAGCCTCTGGCTCTGCTTCCCTCCCGGTATTGCCCAGCGCCCACTGACAAGGAAGAGCCTCTGTGGCTGATTCCCCCTTCTCTCTCGACTAGCCAGGCTCGATTATTTCAACTCAGCATTAACTTCGAACCCCTCCCCCAACAAAGAGGCTCAGCAGCAGCCCTGGACTCTCCTGTCCGGGCTCAGGAAAATGTCCTGGTCGGTTCCCAACTGAAGAGACCAAGACGGCCCCAGAAGACCATTTTCTTCGATAGAAGCTGAGGCCCGGGGAGGGGGAGGAGGGGGCGAGGCCTTACAGGCCGGGTCTCGGGGGAGCCCAGGGCGCACACCCGGTGCTTCCCGGCCCAGGCGAGAGCCTCGGTCACGGCCCACCATTTTGCACTGGCCCCTGGGGCGGCGGTGGCCCAGAAGGACTACGCTGGGGCTGGGACTCGGCCACTTTCGGCCAAGGGTCCCGAGACCAGTCCGAAGGCGGACATCAACCGGGACTCGAACCTGCTTTCTCATTTTCCGAGGCCTAGTCCGAGGTTGCTGCCCTAACGCAGTCACACTGTCCCTTTAAGGCGGCACTTTTTATTCTTCATTTGTTTACTTCTTCATGCGCTTTTTTAAACAAAAATGTGTTCACAATATCCTTCCGCAAACGTCAATCCCAGTCACTAACCACACACCTTAAAGACATTCCTATAATTTTAAGAATCGAGAATTATTAGCCATGGGCCAATATCTCTCTTTACAGAATTAAATCCTCGTTTACACTTTAGGGACTACTTTTTAGGAGTAAACCATTCTTGCTTTAGCTAACAAGTGTTTATGACCTTCAGAACCTTTCCGCTGAGGACAGAATACAATAGTAGCCTTTAGGACGCACCTTTTCATAAAAATATTCTGTGCGGGCCCTCATAGGCCATCGAATCTTCTCGTATTCCTGAAGCAGAATGGTATGGTCCAGAACCCGCCCCATCTTCTCTGCGATCGGCCTTCCTTCCTCGGCGAGACATGTGCCTCTTGACCAATGGGCGCTCACGTTTCTCTAGCGAGGGATAAACGATGGAAGGTGGTGGCCTGGAAGACGCCCCCGACGCGCCCTGGGATTGGCTACGTCGCACGGCGCGAGAGGACGGCGGGCCTGAAAGATGGGAACTACGACTCCCAGCTTCCTGCGATGGGGACCCCGTTACGCATGCGCATGGGCGGGGCGGACCGTCTTCTATATAAAAGGGGCGCAGAGGGCTGGGAGGCAGCAGTTGGAAGTTGGCAGGTGGAGAGGCAGGTTGGGAGGGGAAGTTGGGGGAGGAGGCGGAAGAGGAGCTGTCGGAGGGGGGAGGAGGGAGGGAGGAAAAAGAGGAGGAGGCGGAGGAGAACTGAGCTTAGCAGAGCATCGAGCCAAAGGGGAGATGAGTTTGTCTGTCCTCGGCTGAGGCTCCGGCCGGGCCTAGGGAAGTGGGAGCACGGGTTGGAGCGACACCCGTGGAAGTGGGAGGAGGAGGCTCTGGGACTTTAACCCCTTGTGGGCTCTGCGGCAGGGGATTTAACCCTTTGTGGATCCGGCCCCTCGGAGTCAGCGTCATCGGGTAGTTTTAACCCCTTCGGGGCTGGGTTTAGCCCGTTGGATTTAACCTAATCTCCTTGCCCACCAACTCCTTGATCGCGGGGGCGCTCTGCGGGGAGGCTTGAGGCCCACCCCCCCCCCCGCACAACACCTACTGTTCCTGCTGCTGCACCCCCTTGGACCCGCTAGCCGGCCGCGCTGTGGGCCCTTAACCCTTTACTGACTTGAGCGCCCCCAAATTGCAACTGGAGTTTGCTGACAGAAGGACTGGCTGAAGGCATCACTGCAGGAATTACAGACCGAAGAGGACTGTGCTGGACATTTTTGAAAGAAAAGAAAACCCTTTTTTCCTTAAGGACTTACAGCCAAAATTCTTCAAACTCCGAGAAGAGGATTCTATTAGCAATGGCCGAGCCACTCTTGTCAGAGTATCAGCACCAGCCTCAAACTAGCAACTGTACAGGTGCTGCTGCTGTCCATGAAGAGCCGAACTCTGATCGCCCCCCAGGCGCGGAGGAGCGGGTGCCCGAGGAGGACAGTAGGTGGCAATCGAGAGCGTCCCCCCAGTCGGGTGGCTCTCCGGGGCTGGGCGGGGAAGGGAGCCTGGAGCTCCAGCCGCCTCCCGTGCAGACCCAGGTCTGCCCAGAATCCAGCTGTCCGGAAGCGGGTGAGAAGGGCCAGAATGGGGACGACTTGTCCGCTGGCGGTTCCCC